CAGCAGCAGGGGGAAACTGCTGCAGCAATTAACTGATGCAACAGAGTAACTCTATTGAACACCTCACCTTAACATTTAGCATCAGTTTCCTCAAGGCAGACACGCTTTATCTCGTGCTCTCTGCAGAGTGTGGAGCCACCCTTTTATTGCAACTTCCCAGGAGTTCAACAGCTTCTTTACTACACCTCCCCCATTGCATCACCACAACGTGCCCTGAGGGTCTCAAACACCAGCCCAAGAACGTTGGGATTTCAGCTGCAGACACAAATGGTAAAGGAGAAACCCGACTGAATGACTGTGCTTGCAGTCACAAACACCATCTCCTTTTTAAGACAAATAACCACAGAATTCCTTGCTTGACCAGAAAAACATCCTGGAAGCAGAAAGAATCATTCAGTTCTTCATCTCCTAGAGAGAAAGTAAGTAAAGAGCAAAGAAGAGGAGTGAGGGGCAAAGAGATGGTGGCAGAAACCAGTGATGGACCTACCAGAATTCACTCATTTTGGTCAGGACTGTACCTAACAGTTCTTCTCCACCTCTAAATTGTGGCCACCTCAAAACTGCAGTTAACTTATGTGTTCAATTTCTCTCACTAATTTTTTTTATTTTGTTCCTTTTTTATCCCCATAGCCACTATTTGGATGAAAGTGTCCAAAACAAAACAGAGACACTGAACGCTGCTGAATCCTTGTTTTCCTGCTCAGAAAGCTGCTTTCAAGTGCCTGTCTCCAGTGGGAAGCGTGGAGTGTAAAGGCCCAAAGTTACCACCACTGTGCAGCCTGAAATGTTTCTACCCAAACGACAGAGCCAACCCCTGCTAACATATAAATAGACTGTTCTTTCAGCACTCTGCATCCTTCAAACACACGTGCTTCCACACACAGTGAGAAAGGGAGTTCTTGATGCTTCAGGATCAGCTGTGCCCAGGTCAGCTGCCCTGATCCCACGGTGCCTGGGGGCACCAGATCTTGGCAGAACTCGCCAGCTCTCTGCTCTCAGAGATATGGCTCGCTGAAGAAACACTGCCCCTTTTCCAGGGCTCACAAGAACAAACAAAACAAACCCTCCCAGCACACCAGTGACAAAACTAGGTTACATCCCTGCAACCAGAAACTCATCTCTGTCACACTCTGCATATTCCTGCATCCACCCAGCCAACATCAGATTCTAAAAGGTCCTGGTTTGTGTACAATTTTTATTTCATAAAAAATAGTGGAAACAAGCTATAATATACACTTTTCAGCCACTCTACCACTGCCCTCCTCAGTGGGCAGGGGGAACAGAATAAAATGGAAGGCTCATGGGAGAGATAAGGGCAGGGAGGGATCATTCACCAGTTACTGTCACAGGCAAACCAGACCCGACTTGGGGAAAAATTCGTGTCACTTATTACTAATCAAAAGTCAGAGTAGGATCATGAGAAATAAAAACAAATCTCCCCACCCTTCCTGCAGTCAGTTCCTCACACGTTGTCTCTCTTGCTCCTTCCTCCTCAGGGGCTGGACTCCTCACACTCTTCCCCTGATCGAGCTGATGGGGTCCCTTCCCAACTTCTCCAAAGGGAGTCTTTCCCATGAGCTGCAGCTCTTCATGAACTGCTCCACCCCATCCTTACTCCATCTGTGGTCTGAGAAGACCTTGATTTCCAGCAGTATGTTTACTGTCCAGCAGAAAAGGCTGTTCTCCAGGTATAAGAAGAGTTGTGTCAACAAGGGAACTTAACTGCACTAACTTTTCTGTGCACATCCCCTCTGGGAGGAAACTTCTCCTCGCAGCCTCACCAATCCCACAGCTCAATAGTTCCCGAGGGAACCACACTAAGCCACACGTTGTTGTTTCATGAGGCATCCCAAATGAAGCCATGAGCCATTAAGGCAACAGTAAAACCTAAAGAAACAACACACGCAGATACATAAAAGCACAAGAAGTGAGTTAAAGGGCCTGTCTAACCACAGAGTATCACAGAACCAATCGGGTTGGAAGAGACCTCTGGGATCATCGAGTCCAACCCATGACCAAGCACCACCGTGTCCAGCAGGCACTGAGTGCCACGTCCGGCCTTCCCTTAAACACCCCCAGGGACGGTGACTTCACCACCTCGCTGGGCTGCCCACCCCGGTGTCCAATGACCCCTTCCCTGCAGAGATTCCCCCTCGTCCCACCCACCCTGCCCTGGCGCAGCTCGGGCCGTGCGTCCCGGGCAGGGGGCAGCGCGCACCCGGCGCTGCGGGGCCGTGCAGCTTCCAGCGGCACCCGGTTACGAAACACGCGCTGTCGGTGGGAGGGGAGCAAACAAAACACCACAGGCAGCCCCCGACGCCGCGGCAGCGGGAGCCGGGCGAGCGCAGCGGGGCAGAGCGAGGGGCGAAGCCCCACACGGGCCGGGGCCGGGGCTGACACAGCACAAATCCCTCCCGGCGGGCGGCACACGGCCGGCAGGGCTCGGGCGGGCCCCGGGGCGCAGCGTACCTGCCACGAACACGACGAAGACGGAGCCGCGCTCCTTGGCGGCGGCGATGGCGGCGGGCACGGCCCCGCCGAACCACATCGTGCGGCCGCGCCGGGATCGGCCGGGATCGGCCGGCACCGCCGGGACCCGCCGGACCCGCCGCCCTCAGCGCACCGCGCGCGCCGCGCATGCGCCAACCGCCCCCGCGCGCCGGCGCTCGCGACACGCCGGGGCGCCTCCTGATTGGCCGCCGCTCCCCTCCCCTCACACCGCCTGGGCCGCCGCCATGTTGGAGCCGCGGCGGGGGCGGTGCTCCCTCCGTGAGGGGGAGCTCGGCGGGTCGGGCTGCTCTACCAGGCGGCAGGACGGGAAGATGCGGTCTTTAAGCTGCGTCGGGGGAGGTTTGTGTTGGACGTTAGGAGGAATTTCTTCACAAAAAGGGGTGATTAAACATTGGAATACTGCGACCAGTTCCGGGCTCCTCGGTACAAAGGCAAGGAGCTGCTGGAGAGGGTCCAGCAGGGGCCGCAAAGATGATGAGGGGTCTGGAGCGTCTCTCTTACGCGGAGAGGCTGAGGGAGCTGGGGCTGTTCAGTCTGGAGAAGAGAAGACTGAGAGGGGAATCTCATTAATTAATAAAAGTATCTCAAAGGCAGGTGCCAAGACGATGGTGCCAGACCCTTTTCAGTGGTGCCCAGCGACAGGACAAAGAGCAACGGCCATAAACTAAAACACAAGAAGTTTCACCTCAACATGAGGAAGAACTTCTTCAAGTTGAGGGTGGCAGAGCATTGGAACAGGCTGCCCAGGGGTGGCTTGGATTCTCCCTCTCCGGAGACATTCCAAACCCACCTGGATGTGTTCCTGTGTCACCTGCTCCAGGTGACTCTGCCTTGGCAGGGGGTTGGACTGGATGATCTCCAGAGGTCCCTTCCCACCCTGACAATCCGTGATCCTGCAGGGCAGTGCTGGAGAAAGGGGTACACACAACGTGCCCCTCGTGTCCCCCGGGGCTGCGAGGGCAGGACGGACATGGCCAAGCCCCAGTGCCCACCCTGGGGACAGCAAAGTGTGACTGAGGGGAAGAGCAGTGGGGAAAATGACAGAAATCAGTGCTTAACGGGACAAAAATAGAGTGAGGTGTGCACAGATCCTGCATGAGAGGCAGGGGGTGAGGCCAGGACACCCTCCCTGCTCCCAGGCTGTGTGAGGGGCTGGGACAGCACATCCCACAAAGCAGCCACGCTCCTTGATGGATATCTCACAGCAATGAGGACAGGGCAGGTCATTTCAAGTGGTCTGGTAACAACATTTTGGACAAAATGGTCCCCTCAGGCGTTTCTGAAACACCATTAGGGCTGTGACTGTGTAACTGGGCAACTTGCTGAGGCAGACAGTGTCCAACATTGGAAGGCCAAAAACACAGTGTCTCAGCCTGGAAAGCCTTTCACTGTTGTACTCTGTGTAACCTGGAGCTTAACTAGAGAAGTCACTGGGTAACAACAACTAGAAAAACCCTACAAACCAACAGTGAAAAAGATGTGAGTCAGTGTTGGCAACAGTATACAAAAGCTGTTTCACCTCTCTCAAGATGCAGCATGTGGAAAATGTGTCACAGCAATCCTGCTCACTGGGTAAGCCCTGCACACACACCTTGTGCTTCTGCCAGGTTTTTAAAGGAGTAACCATCAGAACGTGGTTCTGAGGGAGTTTTCAGTATCATTTTGTATTTTTAAATATTTTCTTTCTTCATGGTACAAAACATTTGAGGGCGATGCCAGAGCTTGGATGATATTAAGCTAAACATTTTTGGGGGGAATGAGCAAAGAGACATCTCTGTTACGCTTGTGCATGGAGAGCAGGAGTAAGGCTGTAAGGTGTGTTGGTATCTTAAACTCTGTGAGGAATCTGGATGTGTTGCACTAATTCTCCTGGCTTTTCCAACAGCTGCACTTTGCATTTACTGCATCTCCTTTGAAATCCTAAGTTGGAAGCCAAGTGCCACGGGAAGGGTGAGTGGAGGGTTGAGCACTGAATGTTTGGGGAATTCTCTTGCAAACATGATTTTCAAAATTTCTGCCATCACTTGAAACAAGGAAGAAATTCTGCTTAAACGTGAAAGAAGGGCTTACCAATGACTGGAGAGGTAACTTTTGTGAAGGTGTGCAATCTTTTACGTGCTCAGGAACCATTTATATTACACTCTCAGACAATTACAGTTTTAAAAATATAACTCTAACTGTAGAGTCACTGATTGCTGCTGTTGGATGTGCCTTTGCTGCTGTAATTAATCTGAGAGCCCTTCCTGCCAGTGTCCTGGAAAACAGCAGAGGTCTGCAATTTGTAGGCCTAGGAAAAGGAATGGGTAAGAAGTAGAAAGTTTTATTGAGAACTCAGAAAAAATAAGTTGCAGCATTACCTGGGATTCAGTTCCTGGGGGGGGTGTCTGTGTGTTTTCAGCCATTGGTATGGGATACAGTACAATGCAAGACAGTCATTTGCATTCCAGGAGAGTAATTTTTTCTCCCCCAAACAGCACAGATCCACTTGGTTTAAGAAGGAAATGTTTTTATTAGTGAACTCCTGTTTTCAGTTGTCCTGCTGCTTCACCCTGAATCAATGGTTCATTAACAAATCAAAGTATCAGTTCAGGCCAAGTGAGAAGGCAACAAATTTGAGTAGCCATGGAGTCAGGGTCTGATGTATTTCCCAGGCTGTGTAAATCCATGTGGTAACTATCAGAGCACTTATCTGACATCAGCTTCTCTTCCCAAGTGCAGACACAACCTTCATGAAGACTGAGCTGTAGAAATGTTGAAGGGATGGAAATGAGTCCTTTCATAGTTAGAAATGTATAAAAATTGCAGCCACAATGATTTTTCATGACCTGTAACAGAAAAGTGTTTTGGTCAGTTTTCTCCAAAGCTTCATCTTAGCATTCTTTGCCTCAGGGCTCAATACAGGAACTCTAAGCCTGCACCAATTTCTATGGAAAAAATATATCGTGGAGCTAAAGAATCATTTAGAAAAGAAACTAGTTGTAATTTTGACTCCCTTTTGGTTGCTGTGAGGAGATTCAGGCGTGATATCATCATCTACCCAAATCCAGCATCAGGTCCATGTGCTCTGAGGAGCCTGCAGAGCATGGGACTTACATTTATTTTCTTAATTTTGAATTATCTTTTTGGCTGTAACAGCACAAATGACACGGGATGTTCACAGTCCAGGGATGCATTTTACAATATCACAGTGTTAATTAAAAATTAAAATCAAGAAACAGTAGCCTTTGGTGGATGAGGTAAAAGCTGTATTTGTTGATCTTTTCTGCTTATGCAAGTGCTTTCCCTTAGATTTAAAAGTTATAACATGTTCCCAGTAAAATAAAACACATTGTATTGCTGCAATACAAGTCCCCACTTCATTCCTTTTGCCACTATTTGATGTTAATGACAGGCAGTTCAAATACACCACAGCACCAGAGGAGTTGTTGGGAACACTCGGGAATGTTTTACATATGGCAAATTCATGCCATAAAAGTTCATTTATTTGCTTTCTAGACCATAATCCAAACCTGTGGAACAAATGCAGTTCCAGGGGTTTTGCACATAGTCCTGACCGAGGGACCAGGAAGGTACAAACATCCTGTTCACTTGAGACAGCAGGAAACAGCACAAAATCAGGAATAAACAACACTGGAAAGCGGGAATACGTGAATTCTGTGCCCCCCGTAGACAGCAGAAGCCTCTGACACTTCTGTTAATGATACCTGTGTGGTTTGTAGAGCACAGCCAGATCAGCCCCAAAAAAGTCACTGTCCCTGTGTGACACAGAGGAAAACACCCTCAGAAAGGGTGAGCAGCTCGTAGGAATGGAAAGGATCACATTCTGGATTAGAGCACAACTGGTTTACGAAATGTTCCAACTTTTTCTTCTAGGGCAATTTGCACTCAAGTTTACCACTTACTTGATAAAAATTAAATATTTCCTGGGCCTTGTTCCCAATCAGTGCATCCCTCCCACTGCTGGGATTACATTCTCCATGCTTCCCTCGCCTTACCTTTTCTTCTCTGGCTGTTATGGGCAAAGTTTATGCAATGAAGCAAGTCATGCAGCACTCAGCAACAGTTCCATTTGGTGCAAGGTTTAGTTCTTGGGCTGTTTCCTTCTCCACCTAGGAAAAATCTTGTGGAATGTGCTAACTATGTGAGGAGCTGCCCTGCTGGGCTGGGACACCTGTCACTGCACACCTGTCACCTGTGGGCTACTTTTACAGGATTAAAACATCATCTGGAACTGGCGCTGGCAATCAGCAAGAGGGAGCTCCAGAACGTGGGCATGTTCCTCTGTTGTTCAGAGCAGGGGAACTGCATAAGCTGGGGCTCTTCCATCCTTGGCTCTGGGAGCAGTGAACTCCAGCAGTCCTGCAGGAACAACACACACATCCCTCAGCAGGCAGGAACTCTCATGCCAAGTGCCATCCTTTTAGGAGAGCAGCCAGGGCTGGAAGCTCAACATTCCCCCTCTGTTTCAGAGGAGGATCTGAGTTGAGTTACCTTCAGTCACGTCAGTACCTGTTGTTACAGCATTTTCCACAATCAAGTCTCATAACCCAGTTTGTGAGGCTGCATCATGCCCAGACAGCTCAGGTATCTCATCTTTCCTCCAGGTACTTCACCTGAAGGACTCAGGAGTTGAACATGCAGAGGACTGTCCTTGTCACTTCACGATTGCTTGGTCGCTCAGGGATAGGATTTTTTTGTATAAAAGATGAAAATTATTGCACCTTAATTCTTTACCTTTGCTCTGTGAAATGTTTTTAAACACAACGTTTATCTTGAGTTCCCACTTTCAGAAGTTACAAATGCACCTTTTACAAAGCAAGAGCCTTAAGAAATGAACAAGTAGTTACAGCAGCAAACCAGTGCCTGAGCTAAAAAATAAAACCAGGAGCAGTCCCTTAGGGCATCTGAATAATTTCTCTTTTTTACTTACATAGGGAAACATTTAAAAATGATGGAGGGCAGGATAACATAGACTCAAGAGGAGGAACAGCAACAGGGGTTCTTTAAAAGATTCTAGTATTTTAAAGTCCTTTTCTCACATTTGAAGGGGTCCCAAGTATTGATGTGAGTTCATCCAGGTCTCAGAAGGCTCCCAGAAGTTTAAACAAGTGCACTGGGAAGGTTTGTGTTTGTAAACATTTATTCTCTTGAACTGAAAAAGGCTTGCATCAGCACACATTGTACAGACTTGCAAATTACACAGATTGAAAAAAGGTTTGTTTCATTTATGTGCAATGAATCTTTCATGTCCAGTGAGCATCTGCAAATGATGAAAACTTAAACCATTAAAAAGGTTTCCAGCACTTATCAAACACAATTATCTTAGCGTGAAAAGGAAGAGAGAGAGAGAGCCATACTGGTGGGGACACAATTAAAGTGCAAACATTTTGTCACTTGTGAAGATACATTTTAGTTTCTTCACACTTTTGCTAAAAAGAAATATTAAAATGTGATTCAGTGAACATTCTTTAGAACCCATTCATATTCCCCTTTAAATGATTATTAAAACTTGCTGGATCAGAAGCAAATCCTTCAAGGGTACAACATTGTAATTTCTTTTGACATTGTTTGAGTGAGTTGCAAAGGAAAATGACACCTAAGGAGTTAGTTACTGAGAGGGTATTTTTTTTTCCTTAAAAAAAACCCAAAGAAAAAGAAAAAGGAAACCACAAGGGACGAAGAACAGGTTAACTTGAAGATTTGGGGTAGTTTGCTAGAAAATGAATGTAATTCCTTGAAAATGGTTCTCTTTTCCCCTCCACCAATCCTCAGGTTCCTGCCTTGGAATGGACAGCTGTGTGCTGGCTGTGAAAAGGGATTATAAAATACAAATCTGCATATGGATTTTTATGAACATCTGCTGTACAATAGAACTTTGGATCTGATACAAGATTTCAAAAATATAAAACAAAACTACTATAAAAGTAGGGGGCATTTCCACAGCATTCCTCATGGAAAGCTGCCTGTCGCCAAGATGATTCCTTGCTATTGTCCGGGATTAACTCTGGAACTTTTCTTCTTCATCTTGCTGCATTCACCAGGAATTCATTCTTCAGCGGCAGATGTCGTGAGACGAGACATCCCAGGAGTCTCCGTGCAGGGAACAGAGACCCCGTGACATCGACCCAACGCAGGGCGGGGGAACACGGAAGCAGGAACGGCCGAGTGTCCGCGGTGGAACTGCTACTGAGAGCTGGCCCTCTCCAGGCCGTGCAGCTCGTGGTGCTTCTTGCTGCTCCTCAGCCTGAACTTGCCCACTGAGGTACCGCTCTGCCTCTTCAGCGCGCTCTGCGCCGCCGCCGCGCTGGGGAAGGCGGCCAGGACGGTGTAGGTGGAGGCCAAGTCACTGGGCTTGCCCGGCTCGTCCCCGGCCGAGCGGCGCTGCTGGGGCTGCGAGCGCGGGCACTGCGCGTCCCGCACCCACCGGATCTGCGCCCCCGCCTTCAGCAGGTCCCCAAAGAGCTTCTCGGCCTCCAGCCGCGTGATGCCCTCCGGCAGCTCAGTAATTTCGAGCACTTTCCCCGCAGCTGAAAGGAGAAAAGCAGACGGATCTGAGCTGGGGGTTGTGCTCAATGAGACAACGCGCACGACGGGAAATGAGTGATTTTGTGCTTGTATCTCCACTTGGCCGATACCAAATGCACAGGCTTCCCATTCCTGGTATTCCAGAGAGCCTTTTGCTTTCACACTTAGCACTGCTCACAAAGGCAAGCGTACAAACAGAAGCTGAGAATACAGAGAAGGCCCTCAGAACAGAGAGGGAAGATAATAAAATCATCACCACTCACTTTACAGCAGGTTTCAGAACTCACTAGAGCATCCCACTGGCTTTGCCTGGTAACCCTCCACACATCACCATGCTAAAAAAACTAGTCTGTCTTCTCTCAAAAAAACCCTCTCCAGTAAATTGCAAAGACTGTAACAGAGAAATCATTTTTTTCTAACACAGAGTTGATGGGAGGTAACACCTGCAGCAAAAATTGTTTGCAGTAAAGGTATGAAGGTGCTGCCAGGTTTTATTTGGATGTGTCTTTACCACCTCCAAGGAGTTAATCTGTAGATCTCCTACCATGTCCCCCAAATCCATGGGATCATTTATATTAAGAGGGGGAAAATTAAAAAAGAAAAAGCACAAATAATTTGTGGTTTACTTCTGATTTCACTTCTTTTGCCAGTAAAAGGAAGCAGGAGTACCTATAATTAATATTTAATGTAACAATACAATAGAATTTACATTCAGTAAACTGACAAACTTACTTTTCCTTTTCGCACTCCCCAAACCTGAACTTCTCTGGTATTTTCTTCAGCCTTCAAAACCACACTTTTCTCATTTAATCTCGCTCTTCCCCTCTCTCCAACTCATGTTTTCCTCTCCATCCTTATGTCTCCAGTGTTTGCCATGTCCATTTGTGCCCAATATCTCTCTCCTGTGCTTTTCTTATACCGTCCCAAGGCACAAGAATTCCCCTCCCCACAGTTCATTTTCCCACAGCCGTTCTGTACCTGGTTCTCCTGCCCCAAGGTCTGTTGAAGCAGCCTTCTTTGCTGGTTTCTTTCCCCTGTTCCCATGTCTGTTCCCAGGCTGACACTGGAAAGATTGACACAAACCATGGACTTTAGTGACAATGCATTGGTATCTTAAAATGCCTACTCAGCTCAGGGATGTCTAGAAAATGACCTGCACTACCATGGTAAGGAAAAGATTTCCATGTCCAATTTCAGTTTTGTAATCCTACAGTTGGGCACATTCAGTCCTTGGCTTCAGGAGAAAGGGATGGGATAAAAAAATCCCCTTAAATCTTCTGGGAAGAAGAACCCCTGCCCCAGCCACCACATCCTGAGCTGGCATTGGGTACAACTGAGCAAGGCAGAGGCAGGGGGGCTGTGTCCCTAAAATTAAATACATGGCAAGACTTAACTTTGCTAACACTGATATTTTGGGTTGGTTCTTCTTACAGGAAACAAACCCACTCTTTGTTTAGAAGTGCCCACGTGTATTTTTTTATTGAAGTTTAAATTGTTATTTGAATAAAAGAAAATCCTTTTAGCCAAGGGTCCTTTAGATTTTTGGAATTAGCCAGTGAATTGCTTAACATCAAAAAAATCATAATTTACACTGTGGCTAAAAGCCAAATTGCAGACAAATGTTTCTCACTTTTTTTTTAAATACAACAAACAAGAACAATGGGAAGTATTGACACAGAATAAAAAGTGCTTGGAAAGCAAGCACCTTCCCCTCAGTTGCTTTGCTAGTGCAATAACACATTCCCCTGTTCAGGGTGGTTATAATGACTGTCCTAAATTGCTTTTTCATTGTTGGCAGGAGATTGTTCTCTTTAATACCTGTTGGCTTGTTACTTGTCCTCGTAATAAAGATGGATTGTATTGCAGGGGTTGGCCAAGCAATGGGTATCTGGCATCTCCTTAAAGAGAAAGGTAATTAGAAGGGTTTTTCTGTTATATATGAAATCTCCCTCCAAGCTCCTCTTCCGATGTTTGTGTTCCACAGAAGGGAGAGCAGCGTGACTGTGCCCAGAGCTGTGTCTGCTGGGCTCACAAACCAGGGGCACTCACACACCAGCCCCAAGATGACAAGGTACAAGCTCTCCAGTACGTAAGGATTACACTGAAAGTTTTGCTTCATTGCAGTCTTATCTAAGTCCTCTCATCTCAAAATGAGCTTAGTAAGTCCAAAGCTCCCCTCAGCATGCTAATTTAGTCATTTTTGTGCTTATCTCCCTGATTAGAGCCAAGTACATCTTCACATTGCTATCTGTTGCAAGGATCCACAAAGACAGTGCACTAGGAGTTTTTAGTAATCCCAGCAGATTAAGGAGCTGAGAGGTGTGCTTGGAACAGGCCTCCTGGAATTTCTACAACATCTGAATACAAAGCAATCACATTAAAGATTATGCAGCAGGTAAGACAAAGACAGACAAGAAAACAAGGGTTTCTTTATCAGTGAGGAAGACATACAGAATTTTCTCCAAGTTTTGTTTTAAAGTAAATCTTTGGGTAAAACAGACCCATTAATTTTGAGTTTGGGAATTTTTTGCTCACGACAAAGGGTGTTTTAATAATTTGTTTTTTAAACATTACCAACTATCCCATCTCAGTGAAAACTCCGTGTTTTCTGTTTTTCTGTTAACATGGCAGCAGAGGACTGAAGTTCCTCTACAAGGAATTGTTTCTGTCTTTGGGTGGGTACTGTCTGAAATACTAATACTGAAGCAGCAAGAGCAGTGGGGGCTCTGGAGGCTCTGATCCCATCCTGTTGTTCCACAGGAAAATAAAAAAAGAATGAATGCTTGCTTAGGCAGTGGTTTGATCTCAGCTCGTGATTTACAGTTAAAACTTGAAGCCAAATTCTAGCAAACATTTTATTAACATTTTCAGTGCTGAAGTGGGGAATTTCACAATATGTGAAAGCCAGTGTGCTACAGAAGCTACAGAAGCTCTGCCACTAACAGGGAGATCAAAAGCCTTTGAGAAGGTGGAGACAGTGTCACTGAAGTTGTCCATGATGCCTGAGTGAATAATTTTGGCAACCCTGCTTCAACAGCAATATACTGAAGGGAGCAGAACTTGTACTTTAACACATTCAGATAGAAAACACACACATATCGTGGTTAACTGAAAATGTACCTTGTGCAGGGACAAAAGGTCTAGAAAACTGGGACACAATAGAAAGAGGTGTTAAGGTGGGACGGATGTTCTTCATGTTGGACAGCTGAGCTGGTGCTGGTGACTGCGCCGGTGAGGTGACAGGACTGCCTAGTTGAGGACTGTGCTGCAACTGGAACAAACAACACGTTAGTGGTCTAAAAAGTACCTACTTCAACAAGCCAAACAGCACCCACAGCCTTCAAAGGCTGAAGTTAAAATAGATGTATGTTATTATTATTAAATATATGCTGAGCAATTTGAATTCTCCAAAAAGAACTTTTGCAGAGCCATGCAGAGGAGGGGTTTAGGCAGATGAGGCCCCAGCTCCCACCTGAGCAGCACCGTCTAAAGTGCTGAGTTCCGTGGCCTTGTGCCCCCGGGGGTGGTCACAGTAGTACTTGCTGTGCTTCCTCTGCGGAGGGGACGGGTTCCGGGGCTGGGCATTGCTGGGGATGTTGAGCTGCATCATCACCACCCCCCCGCCTGGAGGGGGCGCTACCGCTGCAAGACACGGAGCCAGAGGGTACAGTTACTCATCACACGGCCCACGGCAGGCAGGGATTCACACAACAGGGAAACGACATCAGGAATGTTTGGCTAAGTAAGCTGCTCAGTCCCAGAAAACTAGAGCGGTATCTTCTGTGCAGTTACAGTTCCACTATCAGATACATCTGCAACAGTAACTTAGAGAGGGCCTCCCAGAACTAGAAGAGAGAGTGGAGCCACAATCTCATTGCAGAGAACATTTTAGAAAGCAATCACTCTATTCAATAGTAGTTGGAAGTACTCAACGTTCACTGCGGTTTCTGTCAGAGCAATGTGTTGCAGGATGTGATGGGAAGCAAAACCAATTTAAAATGAGAAGTTTCCTGGTTAGTTTCATGATGCACAGACTCCAAATGGCATCTATCAGAAAGATCTGGGATCAGCCTTTAGTCTGGGCTCTAGGCAAGCTTACCCTCCCTGACAAGTTCTCTATAGGATCGCTGCTCCTGGGCAGATGCTGCAGGTGGATCCCACATCCTGCACCACTCGGGTACCGTGGCAGCTACAGCAGTGGCAGTCAGGGGAGAACACCTGAACATCCAGCACTGTTCCATGAGCTTTCCCACCAGGAACTGTGACAAAAGCCTGCCCAACACAAAAACCATCTTCCCTCTCTGGCCTGGCTGTGCCCCAGGTAACTTAGAGAATGTCCTTTTTACTTGGAAATGGTTGTTTGCAGTTTCCTTCTCTGCTCTCCCCACTGTTCTCAGCATTTCTCAGAAATCATGGTTAAAACACAGGGTTAAACTATCATTTAATCACCATCTTTAAAGCAGGAGTCTGCAATCTTCTCAGTGTAACACCTGTGTCACCTCATCAGTTAGAACAGCCAGATGATAAAATGCATTCAGCTGGCAATTTTTAAAATGGCCTATTGTTTTCACTACCCCTGGGCTCACAGAAACAAACCTCTTCAAAAACCAAACTAAAACAATGTAGAATAATGAACTCAACATTAAAACTGCATCAGCCTTTGTAAATTGTATTCAGAAATATTTATTACATTGGTAAATGAACTATCAGTGTTTTCACATCTATCCTTTCTTTTTAAAGGCCAGAAGTTCTACCCACATGTTACAGATTGCAATGGAAGCACCAGATACTTGGGCACCTTTAGCAGAGGATATAAATTTGGGAGTCCCTGCAGGAGCCACATTGTGAGTATTTCTGTTTTGTTGCACAGCAGAATAAAATACAGCTCTGTTTGTGACTGCTACAGAATCAGAATAATATGTAACAACACTTTCCAAGTGGCAAAGCCACAGACTTACGTAAACCTGAGATGTACCAAACACCTCTATACACACTACATTTAACACACCAAAATGGGGCTCATTTTAATATTCTATGCATATATTTATAAAGACTATAAATGATAGTTATTTCCATCTTACTGGTTTATAGCACAGTATTTTATTCTGCAGAACTCCAGCACACTCTTTTGATTCTGTTCTGTGAGAATGGAACCCCCAACAAAAACGCTCCTGTCTTTTGAAACCACCTACAGCACCATTTCTAAAAATGTGCCACAGTCTGAAATGCAATTTCAATGGCAAAGAAAAACTTTATGCATCCAGAAAATCTTCTTTCTACTGCTTCTAGTTCCACAGCCTTTCAGTAAGTGGAAATAAATGGAATTCTTTTCCTAAACAGGCATCGTGACAACGTGAAGTGTCACACCACAGATAAGTCAGTTTGTAGACACTTTATCACCTGTCAAATCCCATGGGAAGGGAAACCCAGAAGGAATCCTTCAAAGCCTTCCCAGATTTACAGCCTGGCCCTCTGTAACACAGCTCTGCTCCTTGCCTGTACCTCCCCAGTGTCCCTCCCTCAGTGGCCTGGATTCAGCCCCTCAGTGTCACCGAAAAGCACGTTTTTCTTTATTCTCAGAGTTTGTTCTCCCTCCCCCATACAGGGCTTCCCCTTTCCTCAAACTTCTTTAAGTCCCAGTTTAACAGGTCTGAACCAGGCCATCCAAACTGCACAAAACCTGCACTTCCAGGAGATCAGGAGGGCAGAAAAACCCAAACTAGTGCAAGGCCCACTTTGGATATCCTGAAATGACAACATTCCTGAATTAAAGCCAAACAAACTGGAAGCGAAATGGAAACAAACCCAAAGCTGCCCATGAACTATAATACACTGCAATCCAGCTATCTTGCCACTTAACTGCATGTTATCTATTTACTCATAAACAGGTTCTAAAAATATCTTCAAAGATAACGTTCTGTAGCAGAATCTGGGTCACTGACCTAGGGTGGTTCCATCTACTGCTTGCTTGCAAAATACTGACATAGCACTATTTGGGATTATCCCTTTTCTACCAGGCCAGTAACGTATCAAATTCCCTCCTGGCAAGATAAAGACACTGTGCTCACAGGATTGTTCTAGAATCTCTTGTCTGGAGGCTCAGACCAACCCTAGTGCTCTTACCTTCCTGACCAGTCCATCAGCGTTATCCTTGGAACGTCAGAGTTTTAAGTGTTTGGATGTTAACATTTCTAAAGGTTTCATGGATTGACAGGTTCTATGTCACCAGTGTTTTCAAACACATTGAGGCTGTTACTTACACCCCTTCTAAAAATCCCCCACGTGTTTGTAGATCCAAACCTTCTGAACCTGTTTTAAGTGCTTTGCTAAGTGACCTTTACCTGCTGAAGGCCTCTCCAGGCCAGCTATTGCTTCACTTTAGTTCCAAGCTGTCATTTTAGGAGTTAAAATAATAGCAATTCAGATGAAGAATTACAAAAGAACTTCGGAGCTGGCCCTGGAGTTGCAGTTGTTGCAGCAGTTCTAGCAGTTAGCCATGAAATCTGAGCATTAACAGCAGGTTCTAGACAGAGTGGCTTAGATGAAAATCCCAATAAAAGATACCTTTTTTTGGCTGCATGATGGACAGAGCAGTGGGTGAGCTTTTACATGATGAGGGTGGAGACACTATGCTGTAGTGCACAAGGGAAGCAGCCTGTTGTGGCTTTGACTTGGATGAAGGTGGCAATAATGTAGGAGGTGATGGCTTCTGACTTGAGTGGTTGCTATAAACTATGGAAGTAAAAGCAGTAAATAAGGCTACCATAAAAACACAACACCCCACACAGCTTCCAAGTACTTTTAGCTTTTCAGCAGGTCAAAAAGCAACCTCTCCTCTATCCAAACCCAGAACACAGTTTGCAAACTCTCCTCAGGACCTCTTAAGAAAATCACCACTCCTGCTCTGTTAGTGAGATCTAGAACGTGCTCGAGTTGAAGAGCTGAGTAACTGCACTGCTGCCAAAGTGCACCTTGCTCCTTCTGTCAAATGCAAACCCAAACCTCAACATTCTCAGACCCATCTGGCTATTGAGGAAAGGATGAAAGTCATTCTGCTGACATGCAGCTCCCAGGTCTGTCCCAGCTCACAAGTGGCCATACAAGGCAGTGTAATGTGCCTTGAGGGATTTCAATCATAAACAAATTGAGATGTCAAATCAACCTGCCTCAGGTTAAAAACGGAACATAAATAAATAAATTCAGATATGGAGCAAAGGAGAAAAGAGAATACAGCAGTTAATTGTAAATCAAACCCTAAATGGCAAATATCCAATCACACAGCACAGTAATAACAATAAAGAATCGTTTTAAGCTTTATTCCCCCAACCTGCACACTGCTGTCCTTGGAGCTGCTGGGAGTTGCAGGGTGATGTTGTTCTAGGAAACTGCATCTGCTCCGATCCAGGAGGCTGCAAATATCCTACTGATGAACTGTAACAATAAAAACAGAACATGACTAACAGGCATTTGTGCCCCACTCATTGATTTCATCACGACTGCTGCATCTGCTGTCTCCATGTTCTGCAAGTCACCGAGATGCGGTCATTTGGAATCAATATTCCCACCCACCCCCGAATCTGCTCATTCTTCAGAGGACTGAAGTTCCACACCTGTTCCTTGGCAAAAACACAAGCCCTGCCTACACTGAGAAGCTGCACTAATTCACCTGTTTTGACACACTATTTCTGTGCCCATTGCACTAGATCAGCATAAAGACATGGAGAAGAAGAATAAAAAGCCAACTTTTTCTTCAGTTAACCAGAATTTGGGATGCAGTCTCTCAGCTGGCAGGATGGCCCCACAGAGCTGAGGCAGCTGAGTCAGCAACCAATCCACACAGCCCAGAGAGGGAATTGTCTTTCCATGGCTTTTCTGAACGGGGTGTGGGAAAAAGAAGATGACTCAAAGGGATAAAAACCATTCAGCTGTTTGTAACATGTAGGAAAGGGATAACTTTAACAGTTTACTTATGTCAGGTATTTTTTGAGGCTAATCAGGGGAAAACCAGGTAATTAACAGACATAATGAGATTCTATCATACCACAAACTGCTCGGCCAGAACATCAGGTAGGTGGAGCACAGAACAGTGCCTATGGAATCCTGAACTAACAGATAAACTTTCTGAGAAAAAAATACCTTTAAGTTCTGGAAAAAAAGTAGGTTTAGTCCTGCTGGACTTACCATTTTTACCTATGTTTTCACAAGTTTGCCCCAACCTTTGTCCCCCACAGTTCAATTATATAATTTTAATTCAAAGATGCCCTTCCATTAAAGCAGACAAAACCCACTGAAAACTAACCTAGCTTCTCATCTGCCTACTGATCCTATTTTTCAGTGGTGACCTGTAGGTTTGGCCCTTTCAGCTCCAGCAGAACAGCATCCTGCTCTCCCTGTCAGTGCTGCAGCAGAACTACCCTGAGGAAAGCCAGATGCTGTCAGGAGTTGCTTGTCTGCTCTGAATTCCTAACAAATGGTTCCCTGTTCAAAAGAGAAGGACATTGTAACTGGCACAAAAGATCAAGCAGCAAAACTTACTTCAGAGAAAAGCCTGGGATTATGCCTACCTGTGACTTCACTGAACCTCAAACAGAACTACAGACAAGGATTAAAACCCTTCAGACAGAAGGAAGGAGAATTCAGATTTCAGTAGTGAAGGCATGAGGCAATGACACAAACACTACTGAAGCCTCTGCACTCACAAAAGGATGAAACAAGCTCCACACTGCTGCTGCTCGTTTAAAAGCTGGCAGGTATTTTTAAAGGCTGCACATTTCTAAGTTCAGAAAACTAGAGAGAAAAATTTGTAGCAAGCAAAAATCCTAATTAATTCTTTGAGGTCCGTGCCTGTGTGTTCTCATACCTCAGACTGTACTGGGGACACACATGGATATGCAGGGAGGGCTGGACAGGAAGGTAAGAAAAAAAGAAAAAAGGATATTTGTCAAACAAAAGCCAAGCATAGGAAAAAGTTTCTATCCTTGTTTCATTGTGGGATTCAAATTCTTTTTTCTCTACACGTTATTGAAGTAGTGCCCTTGACCAACTCCACTCAAATGTTCCTGCAGAAGGCATCGCTGCTGAGCACGAGGGGCTTCAGGGGGAGGAGCAGCAAATTCCAGAGGTGGAACTGCAGTGAAGTGTGGCTGAAGGTGATATGGAGACAGTGTTCTCCATTCCTGCAGCTGTCCCAATGACAGCAGAGCTGGTTGTTTCAGTTAATTGCATCAGAGCAAAAATCAACAGACAGAGTGTCTGAGTCTGCCTTTAAACACGCTTTAATATCTGCGGGGCTGAAAGCAGATCCTGGCAGCTCTACAGAGCCATTAAACCTCCAGTATCAGCTCAACTCACCTTAAATTGTTCTGTTGACCTGATGGAATGACACTGTAGTAAACTGGCATTCCTGTGGTGGGCAATCCTTGGTTGGACTGGCTGGGAATGATGACAGGCTGCTGATACGTCTGCTGGGGCACTGCTTGGGAACCTTGAGGCACCGAAACCTGCAACGGGAAACACGCTCAGACCTCCTGCACACAGGGTTCCCTTCTGCCTCCTGACCGTCCTGGCTGATACAAGGATTCAAAAAACACAAACCCAGAAACTGAAAGAACTGGGATTCTCTGAATCCAGAGGACCAGTGATAACAATAGTTGAAACAACAGTGCTTTGTTAAAAAAAAACCTTCTTCTCCAAAAATGGAAATGTTGGCTCCAAGGCACTCCATCAATTAACAAGAGATTTTCTCTACAAAAGACAGTGGGGTGGTGGGGTAGGAAATCTCATAGGCTTTTCTTCCCCACCCTCTGAATGTAACAGCAACGAACACAGCACTTGGCTTTAAACAGTATCAGAACTTGTATACTTGTGACAGACTTTTTTCTCACCTCAGTTGTGGGTTTGTGTTGCTTAATTTCTGTCCCCTGCTTGCAGCTTTCTGTCATTTACAAAGCAATGCTCTAAAGAAACAAACACCCAAACACACAGCAGAGTGATTGGAAAGTCATGAATGCGTCACTCACCTGGTAAGATGGCACTGAAGGATATGGAACAATCACACCTTGAATTTGATTCCCAACGTTGTTGTGTTGGCCACTGACTAGATTTTGATTCTGAGACTGCTGAACTCCAACTAAACCCTGGTAGTTTTGCTGCTGGTTGGGCAAAATCTGGTAACCTGAAATTATACATTTAAATCTTACTTTGAAATAATGAACACATTTTACACACAGCTGTCTATGTGAAAATACGTGTAGCATTTTCCAATGGCTTGTTAAATCCAGCAACTTCATAGCAGTTGAACTTCTCATGCATATAAAAGAAGCCAACATTAAAATTAATAATTTATTCACTTGGATTCAGCAGGAAATCCTACAATACTGTTGGCAGTGCTGCTCCCACATGCTGCAGGATTTATCTGCACTGGAGTTCCATGCATTAACACCTCCAAAGCACTTGAACAGAGCATGCCAGACAATATCAACCCAATCCATTGTCTATGATAAGGTCATTCCAGGCACAGCAGTTTTGAGATTCCAGCTGTGCCAAGGTCAGCTGGTGCCTCAGGTGCCCAGAGGTCAGAGCATCTTGACTGCAATTCAGAACTGAACTGACTCCAGGAATATTTGTGTAAGGCAAATCTTTTTCAAAGGGGCAATTTCTACTGCAATCTGTGATGCTGAAACCAGCTGGGAGCCGAGAAAAATCTTCCAGGTAGAAGCCCCATTGGTGTACAGTGGAAGACCTTCATACTCCAAGTTATCTTAGGGATAAAAAGAAAGATTTTCAGAATCACCCCTCCATGGTGCCTCTACAACAGTTTATTGTTGCTTAAACTGTAGCCCTCAAAAAATGCCTCCAAAATCCCACCCCCCAAAGCCCAAACCCCCCAAGCATGAGTGCCAAATCTGTGCATTTACTAAATCCAACCTGAGCTCCCCCTTCGTTCTCTTTTCACAAAGCATATCCAGGGAACTGCTCCCATGAGCCAACACATGCACAACACAGTCCTTGCTGTCATTTCTGTCATACAGGTGTGCACTACTTACCCTGTCAGCAAAGCACTGTCAGTGTTTCTGAGACAAACCACTTATCGCTCCACACTAACAAAACTGGGCTTGTCAAGATGCACTGACGGCCAGAAGAGGCTGTGTTTGAGCTGGACACGTTCCCAGTCTACTGACCTCGACACTCCCCATGCTCCCTACCTTGGCACAGAGCTATAATAAAGCAAATTTAGCTGCAAAAACTCACTTGGCTCGTCTTTAAACTGCGTTCAAAGAATGGGATGGTCTATTCTGGAAGTCATTCAGTTCCCACAAAACACCTTTTTGTGAACAACACCCACCCGTGCTCAGTGATGCCCCCCACCCAGGCTACGTGAACACTGCACTAACAGCCTCAGCTCGCTGTCTCCATGGAGATTGCAACAAGGAACGCTAAAAGCAGACTGTTCGTTAACAGAATCAAATATCGCTTCAGAAAATGGAAGGGAAGAAGGTTGAGCTGGTTAAAACCACGACAGCCATCCATTAGAAACACACAACACTGTAAATATTTGCAGAGGACTAGACAAAACTTCAGAACAATGCATGCTTGAGGGAGGATTAGTGATTAGAATTTTTAATAACTCTGAAGTTTGAACTGTGCACAAAATCCCCTTCGTATCTGTAATAAACAAAATGTTTAAATATGCTTTGTTCCAAAATGATCTACGGTCCCTAAAAGCAGGAGAATGGGAAGTTGTGGTGTGTGACAGACCCAATCAATTGCCATGGAGCTGGGAGTAGTTTTTCAGCTTTTTCTGGCACTTCCAGAGACAGACACGATCAATTCTGCCAGCAGAGAGAACTGGAACCACACAAATCGACTGCCACGGAGGTTCCCCCGAGCGTTCCAAAGAATGCTCTATTTTTAGCCTCACAATTTCACCTCTGCAGAGATGGGCTGACAGAAATGCAGCTCTCAGCACAAAGCCCACACCTGCCAGAGCAGTTTGTCCCATGGCACAGAAATAACCTGACACTGCAGGTGAAAAACCGGCATGCTGCTTAATATTTACGTAATTTTAAAAATCACTGTTAATAGTTAATTTACAGAATATAGAAACACATTTTGTGAATAACACACCAATGGTGAGAAACAGCCTTTATTCAGGAACAGAGGAGCCAGTACAACCACTTGGTTAACAAGCTGGGAGTTGCTGAGCTTGGTTACAACTATTACAACCACAGCTACTGTTACAACTCAAACAGTTTTATCCCTGGGCCTTGTTGAAGTTCAGCTGATGTTGCTACAGGAATTGTAGCTCAGACAGATTTTTTAACCCCCTGTAGTCAGGTCTCAGGGTAACTGGCTTGCATGAGCATGGCAATCAGAAATGCCTTTTTCTTACAGAGAGTTCTCTTCTCTCAACATCTTTTGGGCAACCAAAGCATTTTTATTAAAGGTGAACCCCCCACCTGTTTCCCCTGAAGCCCCTTTAAAGAGGAAGGCAGGGAGCAGCTGAAAAAGAGACCGGTTCACTGTGAGAAATGTAAACCTCTCAGACAGTGTTACGGCCCCGAATCCAGCAGCTCATCAGCAAAGTCAGGCCACTCCACAACGTTACACCAGAAGTGGCTCCAGTTGCCAAGCTCCCAGAAGCTGTCACCTTTTATCTGCATTTGTGTTTGCAAAGTTATTTCACAGTTAGTAACCAGTTCATGAGATGAATAAACCCCACAGCTTTTTTTTGTAATACAAGATCTGTAACTCTCCTTTTTGACCAGGCACTTTTGAGCCAAGGAATGTGCTGCCCTTTGGCTCCAAAACAGCCACTGCTAATAACCATCAACGACTTCAGGCGTAGCTTCGTGTCAAATTAATGCCAACATTAATGGTTTAAAATAAATGACAGAAGTGAATATCAAATACACCATCTCATGAGCAGTTTTCAGAACAGAAGGCATGACATGGAACTGTCCATCTCTACAATGCAGTAAATGAGAACCAGCAATGGCTGGAGAGCAGTTTGGAGAGTTTCAGTTCAGCACTGATTATGGCATTGCTGGTGAGGTCCTCCTGTTTCCCATTAGTGCCAGTGAACACCAAATAACCAAGCACTGAACAGAGTTACAGACTGGGCTACCCCTTAACTACTTCAGCAGGATCCCTGATGTCAGAGTGCAGGGCACCCATCAGAGCAGTGCAGGCACTCTCTGCACAGCTTGTTCACTTTATTTCTTCAGCACAGAGAGGGGCAGTTGATCTGCTGACACTTTTCACCCCCAGGCACTCAAGTTCAGTTAAATATAAAGGGCTAAAAACACATGAGAAAGACACTTACTTACCCCAGAGCCACCAGCCCAGCCCTTTGCATCTCCTCCCCCTGGGCTTCCCTGTCACACTGCGCTGTTCAGCTACACACACCCTGAGCTCTGCCCTGGGGCCCTTGGGTGCTGTTCCCACGGGGTGTCCCCAAAGGGGAGTAATCCCAGCTGAGCCTCAGACTTTTTGCTATTAAGTAGTCTAGGCATTAAAAATTCTGAGGAAGGAAAGCAGGTTGTGTAATACAGTTGGGTAACACATCTTTAACACCACTGGATAAAACAAGTTGCAAATCCAAGTAATTTGTTTTTCTTTGAAAAAAATCTCAATATCCTTTCACTTCCAAAGGCTGGAAGGTGGTGATCTGTTTTACAGCAAGCAGGTACCTACAGTATTTTAAAATAATCTGATAATTCTATCATAAGTGGGCATGAAATCTTGATTTCTGCAATGAAACAATCCAGTGTTTGTGAACTGAACCCTGAATAACAACTGAAGTGTTACAGCTACTGGAGCACTTCCTAGAAGGACTGCAGAAGAGGAGCCATCCCTCTCACAGCCTACTTCATACAACAGCTATAACAGAATCCAGTTAGTATTTGTAAAAGCTGATCTGTCATCCTGTTTCTGGAGAGCAACAGAGAGCTGGGAGCAGGAATTAAAAAAATCCTTCCTGAAGGAAACCCAAAAGGACACCAAGTCTAACATGTTCAACTAAGAGATGGTATAAAAGCCTGGTCTTTAAGGACCTTTAAGGATCTCTGCCTCCAGACATTACCAGTTACTTCTGAAAGTTTTGACCAGGAGTCAAGATATTACTGAGAAGTAAATTTGTTTCAGGAATCAAGTCACAACAATCTTTTGAAGTCCAGGTTATCAGAATAACGGTAGCCACAGTTAAAATTGGTAAGCAAAGAAAAGACAGTAGGAAAGGAAGGAGATGAAAATACAGCTTGCATTCACAGAAAGGTAACTCAAACATTTGAAAGGTCTTTACTAAAAATAGGAGGAGCAAAAAACTAATTGTAACCACTTAAGTCTCATTATATATTCCATTCAGTGATACCTTCAATGATACCTGATACCTTCAATCATAGGCCAGAAAGACAAAGTAAAATAGTATCACCAGTATCTTCTGCACAGTACTGTGTTCATGCCACAGTATCTAAAACCAGTACCTTTTGTTTAAAGCTTTCAGTTAAGGCAGTCTCTGCCACCTTACATCATTTAAAGGTACTCATTCATCTTTGCAACTTAAGAATTAGTTACTAAGTTAAACATTTGTTAAAATATTCAGTTCTAAACTTACAAAAAATCAAATCCTATCATAAAGTTGCAGCCACTCATAGGAATGGCTCAAATCTCAAGTTTCACCCACAACTGACTCAACTTTCGCACTTTGGATCCCATATCTGGACTCCGACTTCATTTGAACTTGTACAGCAAAGTCAGTTTAAAATGAAGCACCAGGAGAAATCCCCCCCCAGCACTGCAGTGAGATGCAGGAAGATTCCACCCACCTGTCTGCTGGGCGGGCTGTGCCAGGGGCTGGTTCTGCTGCGCGTTGTAGTGCACGGCCACGGGCCGGTACTGGGGGCTGGAGTGAGGGTACTGCCCGGGGGCACAGTAACACGCTGCCATCTGCAAATCAACAGTGGGCATCACTGCCTGCAGCCTGACCGAAGTCACAATCTACGTGCAAAACCATCACCATAAAAAAGATAAAACACTTATAATGAATTGCCTCCTTAACAGCCCATTTCTTTTACTTTCACTGAAGAAGGAACAATCTCCCAGTGCCCATAAAGAAACTTCTGAGACACGAGAAAACTACGCAGAACGTGAGTTTTAGCAGCTGTGGGTAGACAGGCAAACCTGTGTGATCACTGCTTCTCAAGCAAACTAAAATCAGTCATTTCGAAGCACATAAGGCAGAAAAACCCCCAGCCCAGACTCAGTGCACAGCTGCAGTTGGACAGGGAGCCCCACACGGGGTGAGCAGCTCAGGAGCAGAAGAGCACCCTCAGTTTTTGGGGTGGAACAGCCACATACCTGTGGCACAGGCTGCTGCACGTATCCCTGCTGCTGGAGCACGGGCTGGCTGACGGCGTGGCTGGAGGAGTAGCCCGGGGCAGACACGGGCTGGCCAGAGGGAGGAGGGGGTGGAGCAGCTGTGAGGATGTAGCCGGGCTGCTGGGGGGGCTGCAGCACCACCGTGGACTGGAACAGGGCACTGGGAGGCTCCGCTGCCTCCGCCGGGGGCTGCCGGGCCAGGCTCAGGTGGCTGAACTGGGATCCCAGGTTGTCTTGCTGGATCGGGGAAGAAACGGGAAAAGCTTCATTTGCAAACGTACATTCAAGAAAGAATAAAACAGCCAAATGCTCAGCAAGTTTCAGGCAGCAATGTCTCAGATTACCGTGCATTAGCAACAGCAGCCAAGGGACAACGGGAAAGGAGCTCACTGGGGAATTATCTCCAGGGCTGACAGGAGGAGGCAACATCCATGTTCAGAGATTTCACTCTTCACAGCAAACATTTAACTTTTGGATCACACCTGCCTCTACCTACTTGTTGGGAGAACCCAATTGTCAAAAATAAAGTCAGAATTTGTGTCACTAACATTTTCTGACTGGACTCCAAAGCTTGAGTGAAAACATCCAACCCCAGCTAAAATAGCAGAAGGCATTACTATTGCTGAAGTAAATTTTGGGTTTAAGAGCTTAAGATAATAAGGCTCTAATCCTGAGTTACAAGGTGCATTCTTCTAACTTGGCATTATTTGACATGCCAAGATTAATTACTTTTTCATCTGAAATCAAGTAACAACTGCAAAATCTGTGTCCCAGTGCTTGCCCTCTCTCTGAAATAATGACACCACTGAGCTCCTGGGGAGCCTGAAACTTCCACTGCTGTAACCCCAAGCTCCTGTTCTTCACAAGCAATTCAGCATCAAGTTTGCAAAATCGTGGAAATTAGAAGTGCTCACTAACTGGTACTGCACTTTCTGTGCTAAACAGGAAGATTTCGCTCCTGCTTCAAAAAGTGGACTCTGCAAACATGCAGGAACATTAAAACTATTTTAAGACCACTTGATCTTCTCTTAGATCATCCTGAAGATAGGCATTAATCAGGAAAAAGTGCAGGCTCCATTTTTTACTGATTAGCTACATTCCCATTTTATGATGAATTTTTCTGGTTTCCAGGCTAAAGATACTCTTAATTACCACCGGAAACATAGATTTGCACCTAAAACTTAATTTAGAATACCTTTAGAGTTTAAAAGCCCTATTTTCATTAGATCAGTAATCTGACTGTGGCATTTCATTCCTTAATGGTGCCTATTAAAACAACTATCACACTTTTCTACATTGGACTTTACACACTGAGTTTAGAGAGAAGATATTGAATGTGAATTTATATTAATCCTAATTACGTCCAAGGACAAACCCAAGGAAAACACATTGATTTATTACACTGTAATAATGTCAGTAAATCCTGACCCGGTCAGTTTGTCCTGCTGACATGTGTGGTATAACCACTGAAACACAGGATTCCCAACACATGGACAAAGCCAGTGAGTTAACCTGGCTGGCTCCTTGGTGCCCACCCAGGGCACTCTATCACTTCTTCAGGGGAAGAAAATCAGATGAAAAGCTTATGGATCAACAAAAGGAGAGGGAGATCCTTCCCCAATTACCATGACAGGCAAAACAGACCTGACTCGGGGAACATTAATTTCATTTGTGCCAATTAATAATAGAGTAGGATAGTGAGAAATTAAAACAGAACTAAACCCAGCTTCCCACAACCTCCTGCTTCTTCCCAGGCTCAGCTTCACTTCCAGATCTTCCACCTCCTCCTCTCTGAGTACCATAGGGATGGGGGAATGGGGCTTCTGGCTGGTTCCCAACCACATCTCTACTGGTCCTTCCTCTTCACACTCTTCCCCTGCTCCAGTGTGGGGTTCCACCCACAGGATGCCATCCCTCATGGACTTCCTCAGTGTGGGTTCTTCCCACAGGTTGCAGCCCTTCAGGAACTGGCTCTGTCCCACATGGGGGCAGCTCCCACCCCTGCATCCCCTGCTACCAAATCCTTGCCACATAAACCCAGCACAAACCTGTACACAGAGTATCAGAGCAGTCAGGGCAGTTGGGAAGCTGTAATTTTTCACCTGGACTCTAGTTCAGATTCTGCCTTGGATAACAATTCTCCTTTACTAAGTTTCCATTTCAATTTGTGTGTTTTTTTCCCACCCCTTATTTTTTTAGACTAAGATATTTCATTTCCAGCTTCTACTTACTAAACAAGGGATACTAGTGAAGTGGGAGTGTTAAGAGTTATGGCAAAAAGGCTACAAAAAGATAATCTCAAAAAACCAGAGCAGCTGATCCCTCAAAACGTATCAAGGTTCAGCAGAAGAAAGAGCAGACAAAGAAACAACAGGAAACAATGCAAAGGGGTTAATGCAGAGACATAAAAAGGTACTGACTGGCTAACAAAGCACTGAAACCCTTCCTTTATAAAGGGAAATAATCTCTCTCTAAATACAGAGATAAATAGATACAGCCTCAATTGCAGATATTGCTGCTGAACTGGAAGTGCCCACCCGTGGGGATGGATCTCAGGTGACACTGAGCAGCCACTCACTACCTGCTATCACACCCCCCTCACAAACACCCGTCAGGGGGAGCAGCCGCTCAGGGTTACCCCAGGCAGGGAGCAGAGAAGAGAAGAGGCAGTACCACAGAGTATTGCTGTGTGGAGGAGGCTGGCAGGAGCGGGGGTGGGAAGGACACTGCGGAGTACTGGACAGGCTGCGAGGGCTGCAGAGCCCGCAGAGGCTGCAGAGATAACAGGTTTACAAACAAGGTTAACGGCAGAGAAACAGGAGTGAAAACAAGTCTCTTGTAACAGAAGAAGCAACTATGCTCCAGAAAAGAAAAATAAGAAACACACCCCTCTAGCAGAAACAGAATGGATAGTACTTTTTTTTTTTTAAAGCTCTAAACTGCATAGAATTAAACCAGAAGTAACTTTGAATGTCTCAGTCTCCAAGAAGAAATACATTTCCTCTACATTATATACCTATGCCAGCAAATTTCTTCTATTTAACATTTACTGTTTCCTTTAGAGATATTTTTTTAAAATTGTAGATTTAAAACTATGCATGCATTTTAAATATGAGCTCTTCTAAAGTATCTAAAGGCAGAATGAATTTACTGCTAACCACAGATTCAAACATATTACTTTCATTTATTCAACAGCACTAAAATATTTTCTCTAGTCTGTGGCATTGGAAGGGGTATCCCTGCTGATGGTATTCAACTCCAGCATCCATTGAGAAGGCAATGAGAGAATTAGTAAAGGATTTGTGAAGAAAACAGCAAACACCACAGACACACTTCTGTGACCCAGGAAGAGCACAAATGAACCTTTCTCAAAAGGATACACAGGTATCTGAACAGAACTTTTAAACAGGGAAAATGAACAAAGGGAAAGGTTGAGATGAAGTTGTACAAATAACTTTTAGATAATATTTGAAAATGATCTGAAAACACCACAGCAGACTATGACCAGCAGCTCGGTGCCCGAAACAGCTGCTGTGGAAAGGAGAAGGTTCCCTTCTGCTGCCCAGACCCAGGGTGGAGGCAGCGCCTGTTGCCGGTCCCTTCCCACCCCCCCAGGGCTGAGCCAGGAGCACCTGGGAGAGCCTTCCCTCCCCACCAGGGCTGAGCCAGCAGAACCTGGGAGAGCCTTCCAACCCCATCCAGGGCTGAGCCAGGAGCACCTGGGAGAGCCTTCCCTCCCTACCACCCCCCAGGGCTGAGCCAGGAGCACCTGTGAGAGGACGGGGTTGGCCGGGGGCTGGGGCTGGGCCGGGCTGGGCAGAGGAGGCTGCTGGGGAGCTCCAGGCACTTGGGGCCGAGCAGGCTGCTGAGGCAGAGGAGGATTGTACACCACTGGAGTGCCGTCGGGGTTCAGGAACGGCTGCCCTGGGAAAGGTGGAACAGAACCATCAGTCGCACCTTCTGAGCTCGGAGAAAACACACAAATATATTTAACGAAATGGATGGAATAATAGAATTTTATTAAGAATAAGTGAAGTCATGCTGTTTTATATGACAGGTTTATGCCGAATGCCCACGACCACATTTATAATAGCAATGACTACATGCAGTGATAAACCAAAACATTTAAGCTAAACAAAGATACCCCAGTCTTTACTTAGCGAACACATAAATATTTGCTGTATCCTGCTTGTCTTGAAGCCTGATTTTTAATCAAGTGGATTGAAAAGGACAGGAGTAATAATGGAAAACCCTACTTAAAAATACTATTTTAAGGACCTTTTAAAAATGAATTTTCTTTAATCAATTTGAACACCAATCAGAACACAGGAGAGCTTAAAGGCAAATATTTTTAAAAAAATATAAAGCAGTAGCTGCCCTGGTATTCCCATGACTGCTAATGGGTTTATTGTTAAAGGACTCTCTTCCCCTATTCTTAGATAAATTGGCTTTTAGTTTTCAAAATAAATAATGTATTACTCTCCTATTCAATAATTTGCAACTTCAGTATTACAGCAGTGGACTAACGAAAAAGAATTGAAAAATAAACTCCTTAAAAGTAAATTATACACAAACAGTGATTTATCTTTGTGCCTGGGTTGGGGAAAAAAACCCAAACAAATGAAAGGAACAACAGCCAGGCTGTGAGGACCAGTGTCTACCTGCTTCAGGACACATCCTGCACTGGCTTATTTTGATGCTTAAGGCTCAAATACTGACGTGGAATTTTCTCTCCTCTGATATAAATATTTTCTTGTCTGAGATTCTTTCCAGAAATGTGTAAACTGAGCTCAAATAAAGCCTCTACCCCCAGCCATGGTCCTGCCAAAGCAGACCAGTGCTCCTCCAGGCTGCCTGGAGCCATTCTGTTTAAACCAACTGGCCAACAGGAAATGGAACAGTTACTGGGAAAAGGACTGAGGAATTAGGGCAGACACAGGCAGGGAGCAGGAAGAGGCTCCCAAAGCCAGCTCCACATCACACAGCTGGGCTGCAGGTGATCAGGGGACAGAGCTCCACATCACACAGCTGGAATGCAGGTGATCAGGGGACACTCGGGGATGCTCTGTCAGGAATGCTGAGAAACCACCCTGTGTTGAACTCCAGCTGTCATTTGGAACAATAAAGCCAAGGGACAACTACAGAATATGATGATTTCACTAGATCATAAATCCAAGTTTATCTGCACCTAAACATTCCTTGTTCTTAAAGTGCACTTTACCTTCTATTAGCCACTCATTAGGTACTAACATAATTATAAAAGACTGTTAACGAAACCAGCTCTGAGATGACAAATCCAGTGGCTATCCATGAAAATTAGATCCTACAGCAACTCATTTGTAACCAAATTTTAAGAAATTGATTTGTATTAAGGAGAAAGAGAAATTTATCTATTTCTGTTAAATCTTTTAATTATAGAAATTATTTACTAACTGATCATCTTAACAGCCCCAATCAGAAACATTTAGTTTAAAACTTCACGTGCAGATACATTCAAACACAATAAAGTCCATCTACAGGAGTATGGTAAACATGTCCTGAGGCATTTTCTTTTCTGCCATGAAAACAAATCATTAAATTAAAATTAAAATATAATAATTTCCCAAAATTATGATGTTTTACATAGAAGGTATATTAAAATTTTCAAGCTTTCCTTAGTTTCTACAATAAAGTAAAAGTTTGCCCAGAGAATTTTAACTCCTCATTTCAGCCAGGCAAGGAGTCACATTATCTCCTTGCACCTGCATTATAGAGTATCCATTTCCCACTGCTTACTAAAAATATCAGGATTGGGCAACATTACACCAACATTGATTTAATCCTGTTTTAAACTAAGAACAGAAGTTTAGAAATAGCAGGTCAGCTCATGGTTCTCTCTCTCACTTGCACTAAATCAGAGCCATGAGCACAGGGACACAAGAATATGCGGCAACAAAAGAAAAGGATGATAAACCCTTGCCAGGCAATGGGAATCCCTTCTCAGGCTCTATCCCCTCACTGAAGCAGCCTTTTCCCTCTCCTGAAAGAGCCGAAACAATAATTTAAGTTATTCTGTGTTCTGGAGAATTAATCATAGGATTCTCACATTTTGAGCAAGTCCCTCATTAAAATCTCACATATGAGTTAAAACTCTCCTAGAGAAAACCACGGCAGCCTCCTCACCCCTCTGACCCCCAGTCATGCTCTCCTGGGAAATCGAGTGCACCAAACGAACACAACCACGGGAAAAAAAACAATGCAGAGGAAAAGCAAAAGGACACAGGACAACACTGAGGGTGGTGAGTCTGCAAACACTCGTGCACGTCCCCGGTCCCGGTGTGACACACCCGCCCAGCGCCACCAACCTGTTTGGGGGTTGACCAGCACGCTGCCCGGCGGGATGCCCGCCGCTTCCAAGGGAAGCAGAAAGAAGCTACTGCCAGCAGGTGCCACTTGGCCACTCATGCCACCATCAAAGGCAAGGGAGTTACCAGTGCTGGCAGCTGGATAGACGGCAGGAGTGCCAGCAGAGGGCTGGCTTAGAGCTGGCACCGGGACAGGCTGCTGGCTGTGGGAAAGAGAACCCGTGGAGGACCCTACACTACTAGAAGACTCTGAACCTGGGAAAGGAGTAACGAGAAAGGGTTTTACCTACAGACACAAACATCGTGCTCACTTAACATATACACTGTAAGGGTCAGCACTTACAAGCTCAGCATTAAGCACATGATTCGTGATTCAACAGCGCCCTTTTCAATGGACTCCCCTTTCCTCTCCCCTGAAATACATTCCAAGGTCCCTTCTGTGCCCCAAGGGTCAGCTCAGCACTGCTTTGCACTGCAAAGGGAGGCTTTCGTATCTACAAGTGGTTTTGTGGTCAGAAAATACATGTGTGTACAGCCAGAATTCCTGTAAGGAATTGGTCACTGCTCCAGGATGATGGATGCACGTGTGTGGATGGACACACGCAGGAGATGGACACACAGCTGCTGCACCTGTGCAGTCAGGGGCAATGCAGATCCAGCAGGTCCCTGTGGATACACCACCTAAATCCACGTGCTCTGCACTCACCTAAGATCCTGCAGGCAGGCAGGGACCAGCTGCTTTTCACTATTGGTGTCAGAGATCTTCTCTGACTCAACTCTTGGACAATTTGCAGAACACTAAAAACCACAAAACTATTTTTTTCCTCCTCTGACAATTTTCAGACTGAAATCATGAATACAGATCAAAAAAAAATGAGTGTAATACGGGAGTTTTATCCTGGCTTTATGAAACAATTCAAATTTCCAAAGGAATTTCAACTAGCCAATTGAAAGCAACAATAATTTTAGAGCTAGGAATGACTATAAACATTGCAAGGCAGTGGAGAACAAGACCCTGAGCTTCCTGAAAGCCAACACATGCAGTTAAAGCAATATTCCAAATGGTCAGTATGGAGAGGTCTGTGGAACTGCTGTTCCCAGATCACTGTACACCCAGAGCTCAGGGGATACAGTTTAGCAAAGGCTTCATAAGAACTGTATGATACTTGCAGTGCTTGCAAACAGAATATAGTTATTTAAATTAAAGAACCCCTCATCAGCAGCCTCTATACAATCTAGAAGAGAAAGGAAGACTCAAAGCACTCTGATGGAATTTCTCTACTGTTTGAAGTTGCTTTGCAGTCCTTCATAAAATTGTAACCCCTCCACTTGTGCTGATGAAGAGAGCACAGCCTGAAGCACTGGCTGATGCTGTTGGCCTCTTCCTGTGCTGAATGAAGCAAAAATCAAAGGTATTAACTGTAAACTGGGGAAAACATCCCAGCTCTGTCAAACCATCTTCCCCTGACCAGAGTTCCTTGCATTGGATTAGTTTCCAAGTGTATTCCCTTCTAGATTATGCAGAGAAGCCAGGCCAAAGCCACTGGAACCAAAGGCCATGACATCCTTGATCCAAATGAACAAACCAACCCAAGCTCAGCACGTGCCAAATCACCCCAACCTAGAACTGCAGTGAAGCACCAACCACCCAGGCTGTTGGCATTCCAAACCTGGAATGTTCTCAGATCGCCAAAGTAAAGTTTCCAGAAAATTTTTTAAGAATCCCATTTACGTCCTTGAAATTTGGGCAACAAATATTTTTTAAGAATGTATTTTATATCTACATTGTCAGGTTGCAGTTTCTTTTCAAGCTGTGCCAAATTGCATTACTGCACTGCTAAATGAAATAACTCCATGTCATGGCACAGTTTTACAGCACAGGCAGAGATAACCTGAAATATAGTTTTTTTATACAAGCATTTGTAACTGTTTTACTGCATTAAGATAGAGCAGTGTGGCAACATACCTAAAAGGTAGTGGTGGTTTAAGGGAAAGCAAAAAAATTTGAACAGATCCTTATTAGAAACAAGTTTTATAAATAAGATCAAAGCCAATATTATTAAGGCATGTAATTATATCCTGATTTTTTACAGTTCTACTTCGAATTCTGAAGCAGTCCAATAGTGACCCATCCACAGATTACAAGCCTTAAAATTCTCCAAAACCAGATTAGAGATCAGATCAAATTATGTTGGCATTTGGAACACAAATATTCCCCACATTTCATTTTTGGCCCACAGAAGAGTCATATCCATATTTTCTGAGATTTTGTTTTCACATTAATTGCAAGTTAACAGATCTCTGAAACCCAGACTCTTAGGAGTTTTTTTTGCCTAACATTTCTGAACCTTAAAATTAAACAGTGCACTTTGTTCCACTGACCTCATTTCTCAGCAATCTAAGAACCAAATGAGCATTTTACCCATATTCATTGAAATTTAACAAAGGCAAGGTAACACAAGAAATATAACTACCCATTCCTAGGCTTTAATGCTGCTTTCTCTGAGCTAGCAGCATAGCAGGGCAGTTTTCTAAGGCTGCACAGTGCAGCTTTGCCCCACTGGAAGTGCAGAGTTGAGCTCCCAGTATTTTACCCCCAGGAATTTGGGGTGATCAGTGTTCTCCAGCCCTCTGCACGAGACAGAGCGCGCTGGGCCTCGAGCCACCCACAACGCACTCGAAACCTCTGCTTCCCAAGTGGATCCAACCCCCCTGGAGCCGTGGATTTGCACAGACTCTGTTGTACCTGTCTTGGACAGCCTGCCCGTGCTCTTGCTGCTGCCAGAGCTGTCTCCCCTGGTGAGCACCGAGATGCCACTGAAGCTGCTGGCTTTGGTCACCGCCGGCTTCAGGTTGCGCAGGGAGCTGTCGGAGTCGGTGCTGCTCCAGGGCCGGGGCTCGCAGCACTTCAGCTCGTTCTCAGTGCTGCTCTGGTGGCTGTTGGTCGATCTCCCCGATGTCTCCTTATTGATCCTGCAAGTTACAAACTCGGCTTTTAGCACCAGTTGGAGAATAAGGGGAAAAATAAAAAAGAAACCGTGAAAGAAAAGGTGAAATTCATGCAGAACACTGGGGGGGGGTTATTGGTTTAAAGAAAGCATCAAATACCTAAGTATCTGTCTTCTTTGCTGTGTACTATTAGCTTCTTCCTCCTGGATTCTGTTGACATTTTAATAAGACAGCTTAATATTTATTAAGAAAATAGGAAAACAGAACAGAATTAAAGGGCAAACTTTCTTACCTTTTGTCAGTGAAATAATTCTCTTGGGAACACAGGGACTGAGGGGCAAAGAAGCGCAGAAATTAATATGAATGGCATCTAGAACCCCTCCTATGGTAAATGGTAAATTATATATACATGGTAAATTAATATGCCTAAGGAAAAGGTAATTTTGTATCCAAAAGCCCACTCTTTTTGTTTGTAGCTAAGGTGAACAAAAAGAACTAAATCAGCCTCTCAGAGCTCACTGCTCTCTCTTCAGAACAAGAATGTGGGTTTGGATGTGCAAGAGCTACAGATAAATGTCAGAAAATGTGGATTATTAAAAGTAACACGTTTTTTAAGACATATTTGTTCCGTTTTAGTCAATACAATCATTCCTTGCAGTTGAATTGCAGCTTACAAGGTTGTCATGCTGGGCATCTCCAGTCAGGGATTAGACTGGAGATTCCTGTCTGAAATTTCACATAGGGGACCTCAAATGGTTTTACTGTGACCACTTAAAATGTGATTGCTACAGATACATGTGAGAAAAGGCCTTGGGTTTTTTTGCTTGTTTTTTATTTTCTTTAATTATTGCTCTGAGGAACAACTCAACTGATTGCAGTACCAGAACTCAGGAATTTAAATTGCAGTAAGGGGGCAAAACAATGCAAAAGGGGGAAGTGAACTGAAAGAGGTGGTGCCAGAGAACACATCAAAATAGTTCTTGAAGGTCTCTTGGGTCTCACACAGCAGTGATTAGAGAAAATAAGATTTCTCAGTAACTTCAATGTAATTTAAAACTCACTTAGAGCACACTAATGATTCTTATCTGCTCAGTCTCCTTTGGAAACAGAAAGTTTCCTGGAAAGAAGTATCCTTTAACAAACCCACAGGTGCACGTCTGTGTGTGAGGTACTCACAGAACACAGGGCAAGGCTTTCTTTGATACGTACATCTTGTGCAAATATTCTTTCTCTAGCTCTCTGATACTCCTCTTCACGTTCTTCTATGGATTTACTTCTTCTGTCATCTTTTAATCGTATCCTCATCTAAAGGAAGCGACACAGTGTCAACTTCTACAGGAAAACAGTATGGATACAGTCAAATACAGCAAGGGGAAGGAAAGGAGCTGTGCCTTTTACCTGGTTGTCATCTTTGTCTAAACTGGAGTTGTCTCTTTTGAGGATGTACCGCTTCTGGAAGTCATCGCTCTTCTCGTCCTTTATGTGCTCACAGAACTTTTGGTCAGGTCTGGGAAAAGGTGTCACAAAGAAAAGATGTATGGTTTTGTGAACATTTACCGCACAAAGTGGAGCAAACCCAAATATACTCAAGATTAATGTTAAATATACTTAATATTCTAACTGAAGTCCCAGATTTGGGCTGTCCAGGCAATGGAAAAGATGAGGTGCACCCCTGACAGGTCCTGCTCCTGAGGCATAACAAACCTGCTTTTAAAAACCTCTTCCTCCTTCAAAGCTTTTGCTGCAATTTCCAGTTAAGGTGGCAAGCAAACCACATGCCCTGGGGGAATCAGAAGTGCTCTGGAATCCCGAGCGGTGCCATGCAATGGATATTGGGCATGCATGGAAGTGCAGACAAGTGCTCGCTGCTACAGCTGCAATACCTCAGAGTTCATTGCAAGGGAAAACAGGAGACAAGATAGAGGAGAGAGCACTGAAACTCAGAAACTTCTAAAACACAGTTAAGTAGAAATAAGTAAGAGAAGAACAGTACAAGGCAGGCAAGCAAGGGCTTCACACGGTCATAGGGAGAGGGTGAAGCAACAGATTATAATTACAGATATTGCTCTGGTATTTTATCTACTTTGTGAAAGAAAAAGTGATATTTTGCAAACTCTTGTTATTAAAAAGAGATACCAAGTTCCTGGACAATAAAATTTCTGCTATCATAAGAGAAGAGCTCAGACAATCAGGAAATATTTGCCCAATAGAAGACAAAACAAATGCACGCTCTTCTCTGTTTCTGTTATTTATTCATTACCAAGGACACCTGGGGAGAAGTGAGAAGAGCTTTTTCTACAGAACAGCCAGCCCTACCTATTAGTTACTGGCTGCCCAGGCATAATTAGCAGGCATTTCAGAGAACCTTTAGACTGTCTTACCTCTTTCTTTTAAAGGTCTCTGAATTTACTGCCCTGCAATCACCAACTCCCACTCCACTGAGTCGTCCCAGTGAGCACTGGGCGGTTGATGTCAGAAACATCACTGAGCGGCGATGGAGCCGGGACCTGCCTATGGGGAAAAGGTAAGTTGGGCTTTATTCCACATGGAGCACATCTCCAAGGTTTTCTTGCTAAATTCTTATTTTACATCCCAAGAGATTTAAAATAAGAATGTTGAAAACGTCCAGAATCCTTAGGTCTGCAGGTTAGATGAAATGCCTGCTAATTAGTAACTACACCTACAGGGGCTTCCAGAGGCCATCAGCTATTCCAGTGTGGACTAAAAGGCATGAAAATGAAATAATCTCTTATTAGTTCTTATTCCATAATTGAAGATTCAATCTAGAGATGATAGTAGATGCAAAGGCAACAGATTGGAAATGTCTGGCTTTCTAAGTCACTTTAGATACAGAATGTACAGCCAAAGCAAACACATACATAAATAACAGAAGTATTCATCATATATTTAGGCTCTAGATACTTCTCTAAAAAATTCTGAGGAGAAACTGTCTACTTAAGTGAAATTTCATCATGGCACATCATTTCAGTTCTACTGACTCTAAAACTAGGGTGGATAATTAGATTTGTTTTCTCCCAGAGCTACAGAGAGTGTAAGCAGAGACTGGGATTAGGATGCAGGCGCTGTCAACTCCTGTTTTCATGTTCAAAACCACAAAAAAACAGGGTCAGGCAGATGCTTTAAGTTAAAACTAGAAACTAGGTGGCATAAATATGTCAACACATTAGACTTTTGTCTTTCTGAGAGAGCATGAGGAGACAGAGCAAGTGCAGAGGACAGAGAGAACAAGTGGGTCCTTTGAATGAAAACCTCAATTCCACCCAGGTTTTGGGGTTGCTGTGGTCCCAGTGCTCCCCTTTTTTTGCAATATGGATTTTCTAAGAGCCCCCCCAGCCCTCCCAGTAAAGCACCATGCCATGGTTTGTTAACTTGGTTGACACTTCCACTGCTGTCTGTCCTCCCTGCTGAGTTTATTTGTAAGGCCACGAGAGATCCGTAAGCAACTTTATCCCAACCGGCAAAGAACTTCAACACCTCAGCTTTGCCCGTAGAATTTTACAGTACAAAAGCCAAAGTTGTGCAAGTCTTGTCCTCTCCCTTCACCAAATCAGAAATGACCCCATTCTAAGATAAGGCAGGTTCTGCTTTCCAAAAGAAACAAAGAATGTACTTTGTACACTTCACTGGTGTAAATCTTTAAACAAACAAACAGCTGATAGAAATTCCTATCTCGAGGGAACAAAGTTAGCAATGCACCTCTGCCAGAAAAGCAACAAAGGTTTCTAACTTAGAGGTGACATCCCTTGTTCCCCAGAAGAGTTAAACATGAAACAGATGACATTATTACACAGCACTGGAAACATGAACAGCAAAGATCTCACAACCACCAGTGAGGAGACAGACCCCACCTGCTATATCAGATATCCCAGGTGTCAGATCTATGCATCAAAAGGGTTTTTTTTCAAGACTTTTACACTTACATTCTTGTATTGCTAGTTTTATTTACTATGACTGACTTCCCACTCTGGTCCACGTTGTGCTCTAATCCAAAGTAAGCAGCTACCCTGTGCAACAGCATTCTATGGTAAGATGTCATTGGGGGAAACTTTTTTCTTGGAACTCTGGAAGAAAGGAATAGTAGCTTTATTAAACAAACAGGAACACTCTTGAATTCTTTTTTCCTATGAGAGTACAGTACTTACTCATTATTACCAATGAAATCTAAAATTTCCTGTTCTAATTTCAGCAGCATCATTCTGTCCCTGAAAATAAAAACACAGCAACTCACATATGAGACACTCCAATAACTGTGGTTGTACTCATCTTAGGAATACACAGGTCAGAGCTGTGATCAAGGGGTGATGGCAGACTGTAAACAGGACCACCAGGTGTCAAATGCAGCATTTTTAGGACAAAGCACTCTTTTTTGCTAAGCTAGATTGTCTCGAGCCTGCCTAGTGAAAGGTGCTGTTCTCAGCTCAGAAATGAGAGCACAAAGAGCCTCCAAGAAGTCTCTGCCCAGGAGGCTCAAGAGAGAGCACAGTCCTTGAGAAAACAGGCTCCAGGAGGAAAGGCAGTGCCCAGGCTGGTTTGTGTGGGCTGTGAGATTTGCAGAGGCCTCAGCTGGCCCTGGGATTGGGAGCACATCCTGGGATCACTGGGACACAGTGACAGGGCTCTGGGAACGGGAGGTGTAACACCAACAACCAGGGGGTTAAAGGTGGCACATGGAGCGATGTGATGAGGGACTGGAAATGCAGAGGTGGTGGAAATGAACACTGGTCTTGGAACTGCTTATGCTGGATCTCCTGAACCATTAACAGGCCGTGGAATTCACTGCTGCACAGTTCACAACTTGTGCACATCACAAAACCAAGCTTCCCAGTTACTCTGCACGTAAACCCATGGAGATCTACACCTACAACTCCTTACTTCCACTGGGATGCTTGATGACTTCAAATAGGAATCCCCTAAGGGTCTCACAGAGGTCTGTCTTTCTAATTTTACTCTACAGGACTATGGCTTTGGCCCATTATTATGGCTCATTTTAAAAGTTTTTGCCAGTAAAATGGAATCCCAATAAATTATTGCACTGGAATTCCTGACTATAAAGCAAATGACTAACAAAGAGCAGTGAAACAGCTTTTGTGACAGAGCACAATTGCACCCAGTTAATCTCTTGCCTTGCACAGCACAAAGCCAGTACAAAACCCCACTGAGGGGAAGGACAAACAAGGCAGCCTGTGACACAAACCTCAACCCAGAGCCAGGTCAGCTCTGTTGCTAACGAATGGTGGGCTTGGGGGAGGGTCAGATTTGGTTTCTGATGTGCAGAGGGAAGATCTCTAACTACAGTTATATAGTACAGCTTAAAAACAATGCCTTTATCTACAGATTCAGTGCAAGACAGATTGGAGTCAGAGAAGGCAGTTTGGTCTCAAACAAGCAGGTGGTTGGAGAGTACAAGTTCCAGAGACACTGCATTAGAGTCCCTTCAGGGAGAGAGCTGCACACAGACTGAACAATTATTTGCATATTAAACATAAAAAGCATATTTCAGTGTCCTGAACCTGTGCTCAAAAAACACCCTAATTACCGTGGACTGGTGTTTGAGATGGCCTGTGCAACAAAACCTCTTCCTGAACAACTGACATGTGGTGTTAGACATGTGAGAGGGGATAAAATAAAACCACAAACAAAAACCAGGTAGTGTGACACCTCAGACAACAAGAAGAAAGAAAAACATGAAGAAAGTTGACATTACTGAGTCTTACCTGGGATTGTTTTTTAATGTATTTACTAAAAACTCGTGAAGATCTATACCAGTGGAATCTGTATATTCTTGGCTGGAATCTAAGGGTGAGGGGGGAGAGAACAAAATTACACTCTGAAGAAAAACACTAATGCTACTTTTAAAAAATTATTGCTGAACATAATATATATCTGGATCAATACTCTGTAACTATAAAGCACATTATTCCCAAAACTAAACACTTCCACCCACTATCCCCTGATTCCAGTGTAACAGGGAAGCAAAAGCTTCAGTGACACCACCAATCTCTTAACAACTGGCTAGGGATTGCAGTAGATCACCTGATTCCCACCAGCCTTCCACATTCCCTCAATAATCCTACACTGTCCTGGTGTGTTCACACCTCTGGACCAGCAGCCAATCTACAGAACTACTGGATGTTGCCCAGAGAAATGCTGTAATTCAGAATGAGACAGTTGAACCTTCACAAAGTGTTGTTTTGTACCACTAAAAATCCTTGTTCTGTTGGGCTTTGGTTTCACAATGTCACGTTTAGATGTTTGCAAAGAGGAATCTCACAACCTTCCTCTCCTTTCAGGTTTCAGTGACAGAAAGTATTCAAAGTTATCCTCTAAAACCTGCCCCTGGAAGAAATGATTGAACACCAAATCTTCCCTTACACGAGCACCTTCGAGTTCCAGGTACTAGAATTCAAACCAGCAGATGTTTTGACAGTATTTTTGGAACTAGATTTCTTCCAAGAACTGTTTATGTGTTAACTAGTCTCAGCTTAGTTAGGCACAACTCAAACTTATGCTTAGGTCCCAGTCTGAGCATTTATGGTTTGGGATTACTCTTGATTTTGAGGAGGGGAAGATTAAAAAAAAAAAAAAAAAAGCTATGCCTGGTAAAATAACTTTGAGATTCAATGATTATTTACTTTAATTTTCTTAATTTGCAACTGAGCACTGATTTAGTTATAATTACTAGAAGACTGATGCTCAAATTCCATAATTTTCTATTTTAGCACATCCTATATTGGGAAGTAATGAACCTCCAGAGGAGATACTGGTGGAATTTACAACAGCTCTACCACAGGCATTTTGTCACTTGGCTCTCAACTCCTCATCATCACCTGGGGGGGTATTTGTGGGTTTTTTAAGGCATCATTTCAACGACTGAGATTTATAAATTCAGGTAAAGTTCTCCATCCCAGTGCTTTTTATTTCAGGAATATTTCAGTCTGCCAGCTGGGACAGGCTGCACGGAAATGCCACGTGAGGAGGGCCATGTGGAACTGCAGGACAGGAGGTGGACAAGTGCCCCCTGTCCCAAAGAGAAGTCTATCTTTAAAGGTATTTCCTTCACACTCTGTGATCTAAGATATTTAGCTCTCTTCAGACTAAAAGCCAGAGATTTTCAGCAGATAGACGAGATCTTCAATCCAGAATGCAATAATATCTAAGTGGAAACACAGCACTTGTCCTTTTTATTTATGTACTTCCACCCTTAATCCAAAACTTCGTAAAAAAACTTCTGATGCTCTCAGAAGTAAAACAAACAAGTGAGAACATTGACTTCTGTGGAGTGAAGCTCAGAACCGTATTTTCCATATGTTCTTTATCTACACAGCACATTTAAAAGGACAATGACAGATAGCAAACCTCTTGATAACATTTTTCTGGACAGTTTATCACTGGATTTTTCCTTTTCTGATTCATCTTTTGCAGGTTTTTCTTCTTTTTCAAAGGACTGTGACAACTGGATCTGAATTTTCTCCTGTCAAAAGTAAAAACCAGTCACCACACAAATCATTTCAAGCAATACCTGCAGCAGAACTGCTCTGTACTATATTACCTGCAAAATAATGAAGTAACAACAAAAAAATTGCCTTCATATTCTTTTTAATCCCACATGTGCTCTGTGTCACCATACAATGAAATTATTTATTAGTAAATCAAAAAGTACAGAAAAGGCAGAGAAAGGACCACACACTTTTTAGATTTACACACACTTCCAGGCCATGAATGCTACTGCAAAATGGATATAAATTATCTTACTTCATACACACAAGGAAATATTCCAGTTTTTCAGATGTACAAATTTCATACAGCTTCTATATTTCAGTAATGCATAATCCACGACACTTTTCCCCTCATTCATTGTTTTTTACTATAAAAGCTTGTTTCGAGTTTTAATCTGGTTTATATCAAAAAGAAAAAAAAAAAGTTTCCATCTAAGACAGACCAGCATTTCCAGATCCACAAAAAATAGGGGAAATATTCCCAGTACAACATATCAAGGCAAAATTTGCAAACCTGCCACCAAGGCTTAGATCCTTAACTTGCTGTGTATTTTGACAGAGGAGTTTTGTGTGCAATCACCTGAAAATCCCTGGGTTTATACAAGCAGGTGAACGATCACAAAACCTGTTTCTCAAACACAGCAAAAAGAGTTTCCCTCTGAAATCAGTGACATAATGGTTCCCCCAGCACTGAAAGACTGCAGTTTGCTTTTCCTGCTTTGCTCTTTGCCAGCACTGTCAAGGGAAGGGCTGAGATCCCTCAGACAGCAAAGCCAGGGCAGGTTTGGAGCGGTGGAGACTCCGTGTCTGAGCAGCTCCAAGAGCAGGACTGGCTAAGTCCTGGCAGAGACTCCCCTGTCACCCCTGAACTCCCTCACATGTCAGTTCTGCTCCCCCTGATGCCAGCTGAGTGGGTGCTGTCACCTCCCTGTCCTGAGGACATCTGACCCTTCCCAACCCAAGATCCAGTCCCTCATCCATTCCTGCCCATCCCTCTCCTGCCCTGCACCTGATCCTCGCTCTTCCTTCAAACCCTTTCTCACCCACATCCAGGCACTGGCTCGGAGCTTCTCTCCTCCTGTGTCACTGCACAGGCTTGACCTCACCCCTGGAATGTGGCCAGAGTTAAAAATAGTCCGGATTGTCCAAGGCTGGAGCCTGTTCCATGTCCACCCTGAGCCACTCCTGCCCGTGCAGCACAACGGGAACCCTGCCCGGATCCCACGGGGTCAAACAGCACTTTCCATCTGCAGCCTTGGAGCAACAGCTTCTTCCAACGAGGAAAAAACATTCACTGACAGTTTTACCACCTCTCCCTTTGAGAGATTTTCCCCCACACAAAATGTTCTAATTAAACTTAGGAATTCATGAACACCCCAAAACAGCACCACAGTGGGAAGAACTTCTCAGCTTGTGAGATCCTCCATAACCACATCTGACAAATACCATCATGGGCACCAGCAAGGCACTCTCTCGTGGAATTCTTTCCTAGTCTTGAGCACTCCTTACCTCATAAACCCGAATATAATTCAAACAAGCAGTTTATTGCCACTCCAAAGGGCATGACATTCACTGCTCACCCAGAGCTGTGTAACTGTTACTTGAAAAAGAAACAGGTTCCTGACCTATTAAGAAATTATTCCTGACCATCCACCTATGTGTTATCTTCCCTTTTACAATAATGCTCTAGAAAACTATCAGTAAATTAGTAATTTTTCATAGTCTGATGTTCCTTCACTAGAAAACTGATTGAGTGCATGTTCTGAACTCATCTCCAGTCAATGCACACAGCAATGGTTCAGTCAAAGCATCTCAGCACGTAATCATTTTCATACTTCTTTCCCCAACAGGAGCTAAAAAAGGCATCACCATCTGAACAGCCTGTTCTGCTACTACACCAGTTCTACTTCAAAGTGTGATACACCAGAACTGTGCACCAAAGGGCACTTTCTTGTGATTTCATGCTATAAAAACTGTAGCATCTAATTAAATATGACCTACTTGACTGCAAAGCTGCCGAGAAATCTTTTAACTTCTCTTCCACTGTAAAACTGTCCTCATCCCATCCTGCTTGCAGCATTGGGACTGAACAGACCCAGATCACCCATCCCAAGCCCTCACTGTAGCAGAGGATATTGTCACCAAATTTTGATTAAACAAGGAAAAGCAAAGCACCACCCCCATAAACAATGAAAACCTGATAAATTCTTCCAGCTCAACACATCTGGGGGAAAAGGTGATAACCAGGAAACATTCTGGAATATTTCTCAAAGCCCTGTGTTCCAGGTGTTGGCTTTTTACCAGCAATCTCCAAACCCTGAATTTACACAAGTCAATAGAAACTACCACGACAGACCCTTGTCTTCTCCTCCCACTCACCCTCCTTTGGGTTGAGGTTTTTTTTCTAAATAAAAAAGGTCACTCATTGACAGATTTACTTACTTGTAACCCACAATAATAACTGTCACTCATATGAAAACAGCCCTTCCTTACAAAGGGCTGAAATGGATCCTCCTTGGCTACTGCTTGTACTTCCCACTGGAGTGCACAGAGTCAGAACAACCCAACATTCAGGCAAGGCATGGCAAGAGGAGAGCTACTGTTTTTACAGAGATAAAAGATCAAATGTATCAGCTATGTTCTTCCTCTCATAATAAATGTATAAGCTCATACTTTCACAGCCTCTTTTAGTAAAGCACTGCCAGGGCTTTTTAACAAGGATTACCAATTTGTGAGGCTCTTACCTGGGTTTCTCAGGGAGGAGCAGTATCTTATTTCCTGTTGCAATTACTCAGGAAAATAGAAACTCCTGGATCAGAAAACAGATTGATCTGCTCTGGAGTTTCTTTGCTCCATCCCCCACCACAGCTTTGAAAGAGGAGCAGCCAGCAACGGCAGCAGGGACTTGCTGAAGTGACTTCTGCACAGCCCTGAGTCAGACCCTTGCCCTGCTGGAGCTGCTGCACACACTGGGGTGGAAGGGCTGACTGGGGGACAGGCACAGGCACAGCTACAGAGTTATCTCAAAAATTACACCAGTTCCTGGTTGAGTATATGCATTTTTCATCCTATCAAGGCTACACTTGCTAATAATCAAACATTGGGATTCTTCAAATATCATCACCAACATCAACACGATTTTTTTCCCCCGTGTCTTAAAATCCATTTTAAGTATTAACACAAAGCTGGGAGCCACTTTTCAGTTCTGATAACAACAGAATAGTGACTCTTCCAGCAAGGGGAAGCATTCCAGAAGTGACTTCCCTGCTGCTGGGGGGGGGGTGTGCAGGGCAGTCTCTCCCTTCTTGGAGCCACTGCATCCCCCACACGTCCCAGGCACAACTAATGCTTCACTCTGGGGGGCCTGGGGCAGCCAGCAGCTGATTGGGGCTTATGGAAGGACTCTTCTGAAATTGCCTGTGTGAGTTGTTACAGAGGGCATGGAAGATCTGTGTCCCATGGGATGTGCACTCCAGCATCAGAACCGGTAAGGAATTCCCATTCCAGCCGTCCAACAAGCATTTCTCCACTCCCCAGGGAAGAACTAAATTCGTTCTCACTATCACTTGCACAGCTATTGGGATTCATAAGCCATTTCTTCCAGATTACTGCTTCCAAAGAAAACTCACAGCTAGATCTAGTTCTGTTTCTGAACAGGCAATTTGCTTCATGGATTCCCTTTGTCCCATCTTACATTATCACAATTCAATTCATTCTGCAGAACAGGCCATTACCTCCCTCCTGCTACCACAATAATTCCTTTCCACAAACCACCTGGCAGTGCAGAGCCAAGGACAGATTCCCAGAGGACTCGGTGACAAATGCCATGTGCAGAGACCACTTATTACAAATGTCTGATTTTAAAGCACTCAGTGCATAGTCTTGCACAGTGCTGGAGGCTGGAAAAGCCTCATGTTTGAAATCCACCAAATCAGGGTTCTGTCTTCTTGTGATTGGCCACTGGTACTGAAAAAGTTAAACCCCACTGCTCCAGACCCAACAATTCAGCCCCAGCTACATCCCTCAGTCTCTCACAAAGCATTGCAACAGGGATGTAAGTCACTGTAAATAGCATTAGCTGTTCTGTTGGCTTTTCATCTCTTGCTCTGCAGCCTGTACCAATCCATGACTTAGACTTCCATCAAATTAGCAGGGCTGGTTTCTGAATTTCCCCACTCAACTCTTCCAGTTGTGGTATATTACTGAAGGCCTATAAAAATACTTTTTTTTTTTCATTTTCCCCAAGGAAAAAAAAAAAACAACCCAAACCTAGATGCTCTGTGCTTCAATCCTAAAAGAATTTTAATTACCTTGACAAACACCTACTTGAGTTCTCAATGCCTGGTCTTTCCCAGAAGTGAATTAACCGCTCCCCCAGCAAAACCCCCTCACACGTGCTGTTCTGCTGGTTCCTTCTTCACAAAAGTGAGTTTCCACAAAAAAGAGAGTTTAGAAGCTTCTCAGTACCAGCAAAGGATCATTTCAGTTTTGACAGGTGTGAGAAAACAGCAGCACTTTGATGGCCTCACTCATACACAAAACCTAAAGCCAGGCACAGGATTTTGCTCTGAAGATACAGACTGGTATCAAGGTCAAGTCAGGTAAGCTGGACTTTGTTTCAAGTTCTCTCAAGTATTTTTATATATTTTGTTCAGCCTGTAGGAACTTCTTTAGGTGTGTTACATCATCCTAATACATCAGCCTTCAGACACACCTCAGGCAGGTGTTACAGAGCCACCAGCAACTGTGACTGACACAAATTCAGCTGCAACAGCAGAACTGACAACTGCTTCATTTCCTAAATACAAAAAGCTGCTAAACTGTGCTCCATACTAATCCCAGTGTTTCTGTCTTACTGAGCAGGGTAAGAGCCCCTCAAGTGCACTGCAAGAGCAGAAAGTCACACTGACCAATCCCCTCTTCCTGTCCCCAGAGAATCAACCAGCAGAGTCAGAAAAACATAACAGCAGCAAATTCTCCATCTGACATGATCACCTCTATTAGAGCTGTATGAAAAAAGAAAAAATTAAAACCAGGTGGTGCCCGCATATTTAAAAAATACCCACTAGATTTTCTTTTGAACAAGTCACTTGAAATTGTTTCAGAAACTTCAGTAATGTGGTTTTTACCTGGAGGTCCTGTGATATTTCAGCTGTGGGAGGTGGTGGATACTCTTCACATACAGCAAGGCTCCGAACTAACTTTAACTTTGTGTTTGACTGAAGGAAAGTATGTAAGATTAAAAACTATGGCTTATAAAAAGTTATATAAATACACCGTAAGCCGTTATTTTTCCATTCATTTTACGTAAAACGAAATGGTTGAAAACTGCATTTTTTAATGTTTTCAACAGAATAAATAATTCCTTTAGGATGAAAACACCCAAGCGATTGCAGCTTTTTGAAGGCACTACCAGCACAATAGAGCACATCTAATGAAAAGTAAATAAAAGTGTCGGGGAAAAGTGTTTCTCTCCACAACAATAAAAAAAGCCACTAAAAATATGAAGGCGAATCACAAAAGCAGACAACTAGGCACGACAGAAACCCAACAGAATAAAACAAAGCTACGATGCCAGAAAAGAAAACTAAAGGCACTTTCCCCAAAGTAACAAAGCTCCCCAAGCATGAAGGGCTCCCTCTGCATGCCAACACAGGGCTACTGTACCTTGGACCTCTTTGCTGCCTGTCCAAAGGACTGCAGGGGCCGCTGGACAACACAACAGAGAAGGGTGGGTTAAACTCAGCGCACGGCTGCGGTAACAACAGTCTGTACAAGAGAAAGCTTGGAGAGTTATCACCGAGGATCCTGGCACGGCAACAGCAGCTGCTCCGGGCTGCGGGGTTAAACCCTCTCCCGCTCTCCTGGGGCCCGCCCTCGGCTTCCCTGCTCCGTCAGTGATGGGAGTGAAGCGTTCCTGCTCAGCCTGCTCCCACAGTCTACATCCTAATTCCCTTGGCAACATCACGTGGCTTTGAGAAATTCCCTCTCTATTCCTGAAACCTACCTGGAGAAATGGTCATTAAAATAAAAAAAAAAAGCATTGCCTCTACCAGGGAACAGGAGCAGGTACCAGCTGATGACCCACCATAAGCAGCTTAAAATACATAGGTTTTTTTTCCTTTTATCTTGGGACCTATAAAAGTATATTCTAAAATGAGCCACTGGTCATTTTTTTTCTTTGTCATTTAATAGCTTACTATGCATTAATATGCTTTTTCTCCTCGCAGAGCCATTTTAGTACCTCATTATGCATTAATTTGCTCTTTTTCCTCCCAGAGCCCTTCTTTTATTACTACTGTTCCTTAAAAAAGAAAAGATCACCAGACTTTTACTACAGGATGTACGATTGAAAGGTACATTTGAACCAGCAAAAGCATTCAACACTCTGTTAGCTGCACAGTTAAAACCAACCCAACCCTCTGTGCCAGTGGCACAGGAATAGAAGCACTGACAGAGTGGCATCACATAATTTAAGTCCTGGTTTCCCTGGAGAACTAAAACTCAGGAATAGAGAAGCCTCTCACAGAACTGGCTGCAGTGAGCACAGGCCTCATATCTGTAAGGAGAAAGGACTCTGGGTAATATAATTTCAAACATTGTTTTCTGGACAATACTTCCTCCTTTCGGAAGGAAACTAAACAGAAACTCCACTGGCGAGCTCCCTGAAGCCAGCCCTCCTCAGGAGGTGTCTGCCAGTGCCTGAGCCTCTTGGCAGGATGCACATGTTGCTAAAAAGCACACCTGGCCTCCAGTAGAGAGCTCTGCTTGGAAGGCACAGCCACTTTTCCCCTCCTTTTCCTCGAGCCCCAAATGCCTATTTTGGGTGCTGCAGCAGCTCAGCTGAGGAGCAGCAGAAGGGGAGCTCATTTCAGCTCCTTTCACTGTGTAACAGCATTTTAAATAGCTCACTGAAAGCTAACTGAACTCAGCAGCAGCTTTGCAAAGGAAGCTTGCTGGGATTTTGGGCAGCAGAGACAGTTCAGATGCTCCCAGACCTGGAACCATTCAGACTCTGAGATTTGCTGGTTCCATACCTGGCACCCTATGGAGATTTGGAGTTTTGCTGTTACCTGCAAAATACTTTTTTTTTCCTTTCCATCATCCCAGCTGAAAGCATTCCCTGCATCCTGAAAGCTGGCACCCTGCACCTCCCTCCCAGAGTTCCTGTTACACCAGGCTACTGAACTTTACAGAACTGGATGATTCCCACCCTCCTGTGGATTCCTCCAGCCTCAGTTAGCTGAGGTGCATTCACATCCAGCAGTGCAAACTCAACATCACATCAGGACTGCCAGCAGAGTCCTCAGTTCACTGCCCAGATGCAAAAGAATCCACACTTGGACAATTGCTGATCTATTGCAAAATTTCAGAAGCTCTGAAGCCAGCATATAAACCAAGAGTATTTGGAAACAAACATCCCAGATCCACCCTTCGAGGGGGAACAGGGGAGAGAAACCAACTGAGGTAAACAGGGCATCAGACACTTTAAACCAGCCAAACAGAACTCCCAATACTGTTCACCACAACTTGACATACAAGCTACTGCTCACTAATTAGATAAGTCACACATTTCAGTTATTTTTAACAGTGATTAAAAAAAAACCAACAAAAAACCAAAACAGCAGAGAAGAGATTGTTGCTGGAAAGGAGAAACCATATTGTAATTAAATTCAGTCAAGATCTGTACAAAGCACAGATCTGTCCTCACTTTACCTCTGTAAAGTCTCAGGAATCCACTGCAGCCAAAACTTCAGTTTCACACCAGATAAAGTGAAGCAAATGCCTCAAAATTTAATCAATCAAATCTCAATCTTTGTAAGAATGTTTTAAATTAATGTGGGGTTTTATGACAATAGGACAAGTTTGGTTGTACAGTCCTTAAAGTGTTTTACCTGTGTTGTGTCTCACCTGCTGTTTTCCTTGGGGAATTACAGTTGTGTTTCCAGGTTGGGAAGCCAACACTGTCAATTTTTGAATGACAGGTGTTTGCAACCTCTGGGCAATAAGTCAGTCAAGGTAATATAGGATATTCAGGGCAGCAAACTAAGGCACTGGAATACCCTGGTGCACCTCACAATTTTTAGGGACTAAACCAACACTAACAACACTGGGGGGCCACTGTAGGAGGGGGATCCTCCCTTGACTGAAATGACTCAAACCTCAACATTCCACATGAGACAAGACTCATCCCACCCATTGTACCCAAATCCTCCAACACTCCTGTGGCAGGTGTGGATTCCTGGTGACTTTGAGGATGCCAAAACATGAAATAAAAGCCCCCACATCCAGCTGTAGCTGTGAGCAATGAGCACCACGCGCTGGGTGGGTGAGAAGCACTGGAATGACGAATGGCCAGACTGCTGGGACAGCTCCGGTGGAACAGGCTGGAGGTACCAACCCCAGAGTCCTGTCACTGCACTCTCAAACATGAAGACAACTGGGCACAATCCAGGGATTCCTTTCTTGGGCAGGGGATGACACCATTTCCACCGGAATTCCAGGACGAGAGGCAGCCAATGCACGTTGGAGCTGTTAATGAACGTTTTCCCTCTTTTCAGGCCTGTGAATTTTAGTTCTGTCCTAATTTCTCTGCATTTAGTAGGTTTTGCTCCTACAGAGCATCTTTATGTTCCCCACTCGTGAGAAAGAATTTATAGCTAATTTAGAACATGCCATCCTTGGTGAGTGCAAATTAAGCAATTTCTTCATATTTGCAGCTCTCAAAGACTTTTACTGCCTTGAGAAAACACTGCATTAATGAAAGCCCTATTTATAGTCATCATGGGCATGATTTCAAGGCAGTGTTTAAAAGCAAGAATTCCAAATAATTGCCTAATGAAAATAATGATTAGGTTCTTGTCTTTAAAAAAAACAAACCACCACAAACACAGCCACTTTTAAGACCAACTATTATGCTACATTTCCAACTGCATGATAAAAAGGGAAATAAGACAGTCCCTATTTAAAAGTATTATGGCACATGTTTTGGAGACAGGGAAAGGTAAATCCTGACAAGGCAAAAACAGCTGGGGAGGAGGCAAAGAAAGGTTTCAGAGAACTCAAGCTGTGAAACAGAGACAGCACCCAAGGTTTGTGCCAGGAGGGAGGGAAGAAACCTGGAGAAAGAGAGATGTCAAGTTGCCAAGTAAAAAAATTAACTTAATTCCCCCAAAGGATGGGGATATCTGTGTAATTAGCATAAAACAAAATCAGAATTACACTCCCTAATACAGCATTTGCCTTGCCTGTCTCATACAGGAGATGCACACAACTCTGTATTCGTGCTCCAGCCTCCATCCATCCTTCCAAGAGGCTTTTATATTTAATAAAAGAAATCTTCCTAATAATAACAACCATAAGGGTCTATCTTGCAAGATGGATTCAGATCTTTAATTTGTTGTCAATATTTCCTGACACTTCGTCCTTACAGTGGGTGATGTACTGCCTGTCCCACCAGCCAAGGGCAAAGGCAACACACTTCAGACCCTGTATTCCAGCTAATTCCAAATTAGGGTCCTGTCACCTGACCTGGACGAGATTAACAGGTGGGAGGCACCAGTGAATGGTGAACCAAAACCTTCCTGAGCCCCAAAACTACCACAGTGCTGCTGTGCATGTTCACATGGGTGCCTCTTGTTTCCAGTGCCACTTAAATGACACTTGAACCTGACTTCAGATATGACAATCCAGAAATGTCTGTATCCATCACACCACTTTTACACTGCTTACAGAAACTGGGAGTGCTGGCCACGTCCTCTGATTAGATATTTTCCTCACTCACATGGTACCTCCAACAGCATTCACAACAGCAAATCAGTTACTAATAATGCACAAGCCCTCAAAGTAACCTGGAATTTAGAACCACAGTTACATTTCCATTCCAATCAGCAGTTTTTGACCTGTGAAGACCCAGGAACACACCTGAACTCAAACCATGGTAAGTTCAGACAGAGGGAAAATCACAGCCTGTTTCTTCCTTGGCTGTGAAGAGTCAGAAATCAATCGGTAACTCAGGGGTATTATTGTAGTTTGCCAACAGGTATTAAACCTATTGTGCTGCTAGGGAGGAAATCCAACCCCCAGTCCCATCCAATCCCACCCAGCCCATCCTCTGACACGCTCAGCAAACAGAACACAACAAACTCCAATGAGCTCCTGATAACGTTCTCTAACATCTCTCAGCAAACACTTTGCTGTTTCTCCCACCACCACAGTCACAATTTAACCTGCACTTAATGACAAGTAGTGTGTTCTGTGAAACTTCATCCAGCTATTTAATCATCCGTTAGTTAAAAGCTTGCTGATTGCTCTACTGCTCCACAAGGAATTTTTTTCTATGGACAACCCAAAATGTGTGTATTTTTGTATAAAACATGCTTTCAGTGAGAACTCCTCCAATACATGACACATATTTGCACCAGCAGCTCCCACAGTACAAGTGACATCAACTTTACTGACTCCCTCGTGTCAAAGGGCTTTTTGTTGAATGAGATTTTTCCAAATTACTGAACCGCACGAAAATAAAGAAACCTTAAATTAATTTTTAAGGCTTGCCTCTGAGGTACTGCATTGATTAAAGGAAATACCAGCTCGGCCATAATGCCACCAGCTTTTCAGTAGCACTTCTTTCTCATGTTACAGGAGAACTATTTCATTTCAAGGATTTATTTTTTTCCATAAAATTATCTATTTACACTGATGTCAGCCTTAATAAAGCCAGCAGATATTAAAGTGTAAAACTATTGTTATTGCAGGGATCTACAATATTTATTTGGAAGCAATTTAACATACAGATAAAGTTTACTTCACTCAGTGGAGTATTGAATTGTTAGTCTTGAACAAAACTACTCCCCAAAGAACCTCTCACTCAATTCTCAATAACCAAAATCTAATAAGTGCTGTCCTGGTTTTGCAACCCACAAGAGAATTCCCCACATCCCAGTCAGGACTCTTAACAGAAAAATTGTTCAGCCTTAACCCCCAGACACAGAATTCCTAGAGACAACCAGACTGTCGTGAAACACAAACTTCTCTGCTTTCTTTCAGAAATCTGGCCCATTTTCTAGGCTGTGTCAGAAATTTTTAACTGCTTTCCTGAACTCCTCCTCATCTGAGCTGCTTACAGTCCTCAGGAAGCCTCAGCCAGGAGTGAGCTACCTCATCCCACGGGACAGAGACCCATCTCCCAGGACTCAGGAGCATAAACACTGAACTAAACCCCGGGGGTATCAAATCTGCAGCCACAAATTCCCAACCCACCCTCCTCAGGGTGCCCTCCATCAGCACGAGGCGTTTTCACACTGTCTGCCTCAGCTCCTTCTCGCTTGAGATGTGATGCCACGACTTCTTTACAGGTACATCTCCCACCTGCAAAGGCCATTTTCTGCATGAATCATGAGGACCTGTCTTTCCTGCTGAAAAGCCATGGAGCAAAGCTGTCAGGCAGGGAAGAGCAGAGGAAAAGGGAAGGCATCCTCCAAAACGTCTGACTCATCTTTAAGGGAGGGCAGAGGAAGCAATAACCATCCCACTCCCTCCCCTAACATCAGCAAGCTTTTCCTGACCTGTACCAAAGAGACACCTTGGAGGATGAAGAGAACGGAGAAGAACAAGACCCAGAGTGATTTGGGGTGATGCACTGGTGGAAAATGAAGGGCAGAGCTCCTTACCGGCATATTGTTCTTGTTATCAGGACAGTTCTCATCCTTCTCCGCTGGGATCTGCTCCTGACTTCCTGATTTTAGGAGGTTTTCAATGGGGTCTGTGTCTTTAAATTCAGCTTCTGAACCCTTCATTGCATCAGTTTCATCTTTTACAGTGAGAATATCAGACATCCTCATTAGAAAAGGTTATTTTAAAATTCTACAAGAAATAGGGAACCTTTAGGACAAAGAAAAAGTGGATCATTGAGTCATTTAAAATTAATCAAAACACCCCCACCCGAACCTAAACAGCTCCCCAAAATAAACACGATTTTGCTGCAAAAAAGGATCTTTTTCCTGTCTTGTATTAGAGGAAGTGATTTCTTTTTAACCACTTTTATCAAGAGGCTGTAAGAGCAAACATCTCTAAAAGAAGAACTAAGGGCTGCACTATTGGAAAGCACTCGCAGACTTTGCTTGCTCTATCTTAAAAATAAACCCCTGAACATTCAGATACTCCAAATCAAACTAAGTTCCAATGGAAACAAGGAAAGATTTTCTGAAAGGAAAAGAGAATTACGTACAGATTTATTTTAAGAGGGTTGAAAGTAATTAGATGAATCATAATTCCCCAAGTGTGCAAAAAAAAAATCATAAATTTCGTTAAAACTTTGAAGTTTTATTGTTGTCAGATAGTTCCTGCATTCAGAACTTGTGTGGTTGGTATCTTACCTACTAAATATAGTGAAATTAGTCTTAATAAAATTAGGCATTCTCTCAAAAGCGACAAAGAAAGAGACAGATTTGGTAATTAAAATAATAATAACCATTATCAACAATTATAATTTATAATAATAATAATTTTTAAAACTCTATAAAAGATGACTAAATGCTGTAACAGAACCACCCCAAATTTTCCCTAGAAAACAAGAAACACAAGTTCTTGTCCTTACTCAGCTACAGTGCAAGCAAAACCGAGCATTTCCCACTTCTTAAAAGAAATAAAGAGTAAGACCTGAATGCTTAAAATCATCCCCAGGAAACAAATAACAATCCAAGAACACCGTAGCAAAGTCTTACTCTCTGATTCCGTACCTGATATGTCCTACAGTTTGGGGATTGAGGTCTTCCACGAGGATAAAGCAGACTAATCCGAAGTTCCTTTCCCCAGCTGTCGAGCAGGATGTCAGTTGGAATGAACCATCTGGGAGCTGGCAGGAGGAGTCCCATGTCCCTATCCCCGGTGTGGAGTCCTGCACACAACTGGGTGGTCTTGGATCAGCAGGAACATCCCTTTGGAACGCCTGCAAAGCAACAAAGGAAATACATCACACTTTTCCTCGCTGTGGGAGGGAAGAGGGAGCTTGGTGACACCCAAAAGCTTAAACAGTCATTTTAAGGAAGAAAATAAAAAATAAGAAGCCACAGAAGAAATCAGCTTTTGTCACACCCATTTTACTTGCCCTATGGAGCAGCAGTGACTGATTTTCCTTAGAACTCCAGACATTACAGAGTTAACAACAGCCATAATAAACATTTTGCTGGCATTCCTGGGGACACTGTTCCTATAAACAAGGAGGTATCTTCCCCAAGAGGCAGAAATCCGCAGCTCAGCGCGTGTGGGGGAGTGACAGGCCATGGAACCTCCCAAACCCCTGTCAGGGTAACAGCGATTTTCTCTTTGCAGCAGTTCATAATCTACATAATCCACATTTTAGGCAACTTGAATTACAGAAGACAGTTTTATTTTACTCAGCAAAATAACTGCCACGAGGATTTACATTTTTATAAAACTGATAATGTTGCATCTTCCCTCCTTTTCAGTTTTGCTTCTCTGAGAAAGAACTAACCCCACCACCTTGAGGTGGAAGGCAAGGGCAGACCTCTCATGGCAAAGCAAAGGTAGCTCCAAGATGGTTTTCCCAGAGAATCCAAGATTTATGAAGAAGCTCAGGTTAACAACCTTCACCATAAGCAGAACCTGAATAGAGATGCTGTTTGGTTTTGCTGCCTGATCTGTGATTTGTACTGTATTTAGATAAGTGTTAAAAAACATTACATGCTGAAGACAGAAAAAAAAATCAGCAAAACTCAAAACATGTACGTCCAGTTGCAATTATAATTTTGGAAAATAAGTGTAATTTAATTGCTACTCCCTCCACAAGTCACAAACACAGCACCTGCAATCAACATCTTGAAGTTTTTCCTTTAATCCCATCCAATTCCCTAAGAGCTCCTGTCCCTTTGCAGCACCATTTCCAAACAGTCTCAGCATCCTCAGTTACCAAAACTCCTGCTGCAAACGTGCTGCCTGCCCCTGTCAATCCAGAAACATGATGCACAGGAAAAATGGCCTTATATTCCTACACCAACCTAGCTGCAAATCAGCTTAGAACTTGTTCTGGACCGATTTTTCCTTGCAGACAGATTTAAAGCTGCAGATTTGGTGCAATGTAACCCACAGGGCAAGGAACAGAGCTGAGGAAAAGCTGTGCAGCTTCAATTCACACATAAATGTCTAGTTTTTGGGTTCATAGAATGTGCCTATTTTGAGTCAACTGGGATCACCATATGTGCATCCACGAGTAAATGCTTCAGATTCAGAGCCAAAGACACATAACAGAAAAAAGAATCTTTGCTTAGCTGATTTAATTACTAATAACAGCCACAGGTTCACTGTAACTGATAGTGCAACCCCGTGTTTGTGACACACAGCTGGGACTTATCACTACTTGGGTAACAGTCCCTGAAGTTTCCTCTAATCCAGACAATTTTCACAGCTGAGATAATCTGGTTCTAGTTTCTGAAACGACACAGATTGGATTAAAAAAAGACTTCAGGAATTTTATGTGCTGCAGTCTGAGTGTGTGGGGGGCAAATCACAGACCATCCTCATGAATCTCAGCTCTTCCACCTCCCCAAATAGTTGGGTGTTAAATGACCTCCACAGTGAACGGACTGAGCATCACTTTTAGTATTAAAAGTTCAAACAGCTCACAACAGATCTCATGAAAAAAGCCTTCCAATTTCACCATATTTTAGAGGTGACAAAAATAGGCACAGAGAGGAAGTGCAAGTGCTTGCATGTAAATTGGAGGATGACATGTCACACTTATCTTCTTCACCCTCAGGGCTGCTGTCCCCATCTGAGCACTCAGTGCTGACAGGTATGTTTGTCCTCTCCTGTCATCAGATTAGTGACACTATACACCCACCACTCACCTGAAAAGTCCAGTAATTCTCTTTCTGAAAAGTTGTAACCACTCTGTCTGTGCAACTCCTCTCCCCATTTCAGAGGGAAAACTGCAATTATGAGCTGTGAGTGAAGTCTGGCACTGCACAGGCACGTGCTTGTCAGGCAGCACACCATAAAAAGGTCAACGCTGTGCTCTCACTGCTTTCTTTTGCACAACCTGTGACAAGGCAGGAAAAGAACCTCATCCAGCAAAGCCATTCCTGGGTTTTATGGTGGCAGCCTCCTGGATCCTGACACGTGGAAAGCCACCAGGTCCTCTGTGTCAGGTTCTGACTTGTAAATCATTGCATGGAAACCCACTCAACTGACCTGTAACTGAGCAGAGATATTTCTGGGAACAGCATCCACTCAACTTAATCCCATTTCTCTAATAGGCATCAAGAGTTCCAGCTCCTTCTTGTGGGCAGTGTAGATGGAGATAGGGAGCTTTGCTTTGTCCAGGATGGAAGAAATCCAGTCTTTTTCTTTTAAAAAGAAGGTGAAAGACAGAAGGAGATTTTTTTGTTCTCTATTAAAGTTATTATTAATATAATTGTTGTAAAAGACCCCAGGAACAGCTGTTAAAATAACTGATATCAAAATCAGGGCAGGAAATTGGATTAGAAGGGGGGGGGATAAAAAGAAAATAAATCTACATTCAACACACAAAGTGGATACACTGTCAGTGGAGAGGTAAAATGAAAAGCAATTTCTTAAACCAGTTTCTTTTCACCAATATCTGAACAGAATTCCTGCACAGGCCTTTAGAGTATCCCTGGTTGTGGCCAAGATCCACCTCATTTTCACTGTGATTATGAGTTTACCCCTAACCTGGCAGTCAACATTTTGTGCTGAATTCCCAGTGAGGTTTGTTGCAAGTCATTCCAAAATCTCCAGGCTGTATCCTGGTTCAGCTCCCAACATCTAGTTCCATGCAAAGCTCCACTTCTCCTCAGAAGTTGCTTTAACTTTTTAATGTGAGAACTCTGCTTTGTGCCACATGCCCAGAGGAAGCAGAGCAGCAGGGTATTTTCTATGCTATTTATCAAATATTCCATTAAACTGATTATAAGGATAATCCTCCCTAGAGAGGAAGTATCAGGAAGGGGGAAACGCATAAAAGAAGCTCTGCATTAAACAATTACCATTACTACAAAAAGGCTAGACTTGTATTATCCTCCTCAGAAGCAGCACTGTCTGCTTAAAGGGAATCTACCAATCCACTTGTTTTCCTTTTGGGAGACCCGAGTTTTGTCTAAGGCTCATGTTATTGCAAAAAAAAAAAACCTGTTACAGAAGGAGCTGCATGAGAAAAAAAGCCAAACCAACAAAACCCTGGCACAGCAGCTCATGCAGCACCTGCCCCCAGGGCTCAAGGGGACTGATGAACACAACAGTCTGGGGGACAGTCCTGCCTTACCCCTTCAGCAAACTTCCCTGGCATGTGCAAGTGCTTCATTTGTTTGCTGAGAGAAGTCGGGACATTTCCTAGAAAACCAGATCTTTGAAGGCTCCAATAGAACACTTGCCACAGCAAGGGCTTTTTCCAGCTGTTTCTCACCTCAAGTATATAAATATATTTATCTGAGCACCATAACCTCAGGGCTCCTGTGATCAGAACAAACATTGACTCTCCCCACCAACCAAAAACACTCACAAACTTACACATGTTCCTTTGTTCGGATGAAAGGGGAGAATGTTGATGCCTTAAGGAGAAAGGTGTCAATCAAAATTATCTTACCATTACATTAACACAAGCTGTGGGTGTAACTAGGAGAGAATTCCTGCATCCAGCTGCTGCTTGGCTCTTGAGGAACACAGTCCACACACAGTTAACTTTGGCAAGTCAGACACCCAAACCTACCAGAGAACTAACTCAGCATGTTCTGAGAGCCCCCAGGTGAGTCCTGAGACAAAGATGGACAACACAACCAGCACCTACATTTGGAACAGATTAGTCCCTCCTGGGAAACTTTCCTTAGGAGAGAGGGAGCAAAAGGACTGGAGGAAAACTGCCTGAGGTGATAAAGGAGAGGAAAGGAGAAGAAAAAACCAAAGCAAATCCCCACCCCAACCTTGAAAATCCTGACTTGGAGAGTAAGGGAGGATTCCAGAGGGAGCAACAACTCTGCTGCCACAAAGGGGCCAGGCTGTGCTCCCAGGTGATCCAAGAGCCATGAGCCAGAGGGGCTGAAAGCAGGATTTTGCTCTCCCTCTCTCAATCAGTGTTTCTGTGGCCCAGGAGGTTAAAAATCTACCACACAGGATGTATGAAATGGAGCAGCTGATTTTTAAGATTGCCATTCATCTCACAGAAAATTCAAAGCAGATTTGTACAATTATGAGAAATAGAAGCTGGAATTATGCAGAGGCAGCTGTTCCCTTTTTCCAGAGAAGGCAACACACACCTGTTTTCTGCATGTTATCTTATGGCTGAAGTTTGAGACCCATTAAATGACTAACCAGGGAGCCAAGACTCCCAGCCTGCCTACTGCACTGTGATATTGTGCAGGTCTGCTCTTGATTATACAATTATTAATAACAAATAAATGAGAAATTGATCCACTTCTGAAGCATGAACCAAAAAGATTCCCTAATCTTGTTTAGATTTATGGACCAGAAAATGCTGTACGAGTGAATCCATGCTGCACTGACTTAAATACACTTAAATCAGAGATTTATGCTTTTCCCAGTGCTGCTGTTTACCCAGGTTTGGAAGTTCTACATTAATCACTTAACAACTGAATGCTATTTACTGCATTAGCATCAGAAGATACCTCTTATTTGATTCAATTTACCAAGCTACTCAGTAATCAGATTTTCAGAGAAGCAGTACAATGATAGATTGGAATACAAACACATAATGTGCAGTTCCTCTACCTCTTCCAAAATTAATTAAGGACTGAATGCATCCTGCTGACTGTGCAAGTGATGTCCTACTATCAAGTGCAGGCATCATTTAAAAAACTAACTGGACAGAAATAGCACCAATTTTAGCAGAAGACATTTGCAGATTTTCTTGAGAAAAATCCCTCCAATTAGGACAGAAAATCCCACAACTGACAGCCCAGTGAAAGGCTCTCACAGGACTGCTCTGCGAGGAAGGACAAACTTGAGGCACCAGAACAAACCTGTCAAACACCCATTTCAGCCCTGAGCACACTCTGGTGTGCAGGGTATTGTTTGTACAACAATAATTCTCATATCAGAAAGAAAAAATGAAATTTGCCCTCAGCCTTGTAGTCCATCACTTAAATACTCCTTTTCTTTCCTGACACATTTTCATGCTCAAGCTCTGCAATACTTTGAAAGAACAACACAGTGCCCTTCTCTGGCACACCCAGGGCCTAAGATAGAACACCAGCACTGTTCATAGGATGCTTGACAGGCTTCTAAAGAGGACACCTTTCCCAGGAATAGGCATGTGAGAAGCCAAGGTGTATTATTAGTAACTATCCCTCCCCCTCCTTTTCTATTTGAAATTCTGAGCAATAGTCTAAGGCTCTGTAATCCTGCCTCACCTTCTCCTGTGAGTTCACTCCTGAACGCCATGGGAATGCTGAGCTGACAGTGACAAAGAGTAACAAGGTAATTCCTTCAGGAACGTAGCTGTATAAATGAGAATAAGAATTTAACAACCAGCAAGATTAGAGCAGTCTTTTATTCTACATATCGATAGGAAACTGCAGCATTCAAGTACTTATGTGGAGTTTGCTGCTGTAATTTATCCACAGACTCAAAAAATAAAGCTTGAAATGTGCACTGAATAAACTCTGCCACTGTAAAGTGCTTCTTCAGAGGAATCTGGTCCTCAGGAGGGTTGGCTGTTCCACTGTGCACAAAGCACTGGCACTGTTCTGTGAGCTCCCTTCCTGCACCTCACTTTGCACTGTTAGCATATCAACAATCAGAGCCCAGGACGTCACAGGAATTAAAGGTTTCCTCGTGGAAAATGAAACAGTCCCCTGGATGTAATTCCTGCTACAATGGATACTCCCCAAGGAAAAAAGAAATCCCACCACAATCCTTGTTTTGACATGGGGAGCTACACATGAAGAACAATGAAAGTCCGAGTTCCAACAAATGCAGGGTTTCTGATGGAATTACAGTCCCAGCATTGAACAATCTGTGGTGGATGGAAACCAACTTGGCTTGCATTTGCATGTTGTTATTATAGAGCCCAGCTCTGCGGCCAGGCCACTCTCATTAAGGTAACTATAATAATCTCAAATGGTTTATGCACTACTTAAAGTTGTATCTCCATTAGGATCTGTTCTCACTTTTTTATTTTTTAAAAAAGCTTTAAGGAGAGAGGGGGGAAAAATAATTTCTGAAACAGACTTTAAAACAGTTCCCCAAAGGCAATTTTTTATATAATTGCCTCCTGGAGAGCATCTGCACAGGGCAGATGTAGGTTGGCAGACAAAAGCCTGCCCGCTGCTGCAGCATTAACCTTTCCCAAATGCCAGACCTCGGAGAGAGCTGAGCTTTAGGTTAGTGCAGAACACATCTGGTGAGTGGCTCAGCCTCTCCCCTCCCAGAGGACACGACTGTCTAAAGGCATGAGGGAAGAATTGTTCCAAAAGCTCCTGAAATCCAACATGATGCACCTTTGGTCCTTGCCAGCACAGCTCTGCTGGCCTGGGAGGTGAAGAAGGAATGCCCTCCTCACATGACACTGCTGGAGCAGCAAAGGCTCTGCAGAAACAACTGTGCTGACCAAGACTGTTGGCTCGGCTGTCATCACCCAGAGAAACCCAGCTGGCAGCACCAACGCTCCTCTGGCTCCTGATCTCCGCTCTGGGAGCTCTGTGGCTGTTCCTCACCCAGTCCTCTGGCTCCTGATCTCCGCTCTGGGAGCTCTGTGGCTGTTCCTCACCCAGCTCCGTGTCCCTGTGCCCACAGCAGCACCTCCCACAGCTTCCAGCCCCTTCATCTGCCCAGCAAAGCTGCCCTCTCCATGCCCGGGTTTCTATTCCACCCTCACCCATCATCCTTTATCAGCTCCTTTTGTCAGCCTGCATGTTCTTTTCCCCACGAGTTTTTCACTCCTTTTCAGCTCTATATTTAGAAAGCTCCCGACAATTCCAGGAAACACACTCTGTAATACCACATGGCACAAAACTCGGCATAAATCACCATGTAATCTGTTTCACATTTATCTCTAGGTATCTATTTAATACCTTTAAAGTCACAAAGTCAGTCAGGTGAAGGACCCAAAACTGAAGCATCTGCCTGTTTTCAAATATCAAATAGTCAGCTTTCCAATTAAAAACAGCTCTTAAAAAGGGCAGAAGAATCAACTGTTAACAGATCATTCCCTGAAGCTTCATTTCTAGTGTTAAGGCCTTAAAATGGAACAGGAGAAGAGTAACAATATGCTTTTTCTGTGGCAATTGGAAATAATTATTTGGGGAAAAAAATAACTGGTTTTCCCTTTCTGAGGTTATTGATGCTTATTAAATGTCAGAGGGTTTGTA